GGGTCGGCAACCTGCGGCTCGCGAGCCGCATGCGGCTCTTTTGACGTCCAGATGCGGCTCTCCAGCTCCTTGCACAAATATTAATAGTTATATAATTTCATTTTTACTGGATGGTAGGGTACGACTTTACCCTGCGTTTAGTGGGATGGAAGATAAGCCTGGTGAGAACCAAAGGATAAAAGCGAACGATGCAAGTTATTCAAACCAATATCCAAGCCAGTTAGTCGGAGTTTGCCGTCTTGAGGCCTAACTGGCTAATGAGAGACACCTCCTGAACCGGTGATGTCCGTAAAAAAAAAAATAAATAAATAAAAAATAAATAAAAATTAACAGCTTCTAAAGTAAATTGAGATAGTCCTAGAATAATATTATTTGATTACTAATTTTACTATTCTGGCGAAACATGTCTATGTTTTTACATGAATAAAAATTATTTTATATTTAAAGCTATTTATTTTAAATAACAAATCAACTTTATTTACCTAATCCTAATCAAATACCGAATATTGAACTAAAAATGTTGTGGCTCTTTAAAAACTGGGAAAGTTTGTAAATTGTAACTTTTGGCTCTTGCCTAGCAAAAGGTTGCCGACCCCTGGTATACACATATATGTATATACATATATATACAAATATATGTGTGAGAGAGAGAGAGAGAGTGTGAGAGTGTGTGTAGGCTTACATATATATAGGCCTATACATGTATACAATTATACTTGTATACTAACGTAATAATATAATCAGTAAGTTATCGCAGTGCTTGAGACAGTCCCGCTAGATACTTTGATCTATCAAAAGTCCTGTCTGATACAAAACCAAAACTCTACACAGCAGACGACATATGGATCACATTTCCCGCCAACAGCTAGCGGTACTATGTGTCGAATCTAGGACCAACCTGCCTGATACAACAACAAAAAAATCTCGTTTGGCTTTTATTTCCTGTCACTGATTTGACTCACCGGGAGTACGTGTACCTGGCCACATGTGGCAAGAACTACGGCAGATGAAGGGAGAAAATATGTTAAGATTTTTGGTTTGAGATTAAACCACGGTTGGGTCAGGCCGCCCCGGGCGCGCGTGGGAGGGAGGAAGTTAATGAGACAAATTATTAACAATTCGGCTAGCCTAGCGGTATTTGTTAATTAACCACTTCTAGCTTAATCAACTTCTCATTTAATTCTAATTCTGATGAATTAGCCCTTACACTCAGAGCTAGTTCATTAATCAGTGTGACAGAAAATAAACACACAAACACACACACGCATGCACGCACACACACAAACACACACACACACACACATATATATATATATATATATATATATATATATATATATATATATATATATATATATATATATATATATGTGTATATGTATATGTATATATATATAAATATATAATGATCTAGAGATAGCTAACAATATAATTATAACAAATTATTCGAGACATTTTTTTTAATTTAAAGAAAACAGCTAGAGTGGTGATAAAGTGGCTTGTGGCGATGACACATTTCTTAAACCATAAATTATCCGTACGTTCATTCCCATTCTCATTTAACCCCTACCACCCCCCCCCCCCCAACTTACCTCACCTTGTAGGAGGTACCGAACCCCACCAGTTTCATATGTGTATTCACCAAACCATTCTAAATATATATCTATCGTCCGAACTGACAAAATCCGATCGCGAATCACATGAGTTGCGTGTGTGTCTTGACCTCAGCCGAAGCCCTGAGACTGACTCACCGAACCCCATGTGGTTCAACCGAACCCAGGTTAAGAACCACTGCCCTACACACATTGAATCACTTAGTCTTTGATGTGCTTTAAACTGTTTATAGAACGCAAAGTGTACAAAAAAAATCTCATCCATCCACCGACATTCACACATTACTCATTCATTCGACCACGTAGCTCTATCCATTATCCACTTATTCCACCCCCTAGCTCTATCCATTATCCACTAATTCCAACCCATAGCTCTATCCATTATCCACTTATTCCACCCCATAGCTCTATCCATTATCCACTTATTCCACCCCATAGCTCTACCCATTATCCACTTATTCCACCCCATAGCTCTATCCATTATCCACTTATTCCACCACCCAGCTCTTTCCATTATCCACTTATCCCACCCCATAGCTCTATCCATTATCCACTTATTCCACCACCCAGCTCTTTCCATTATCCACTTATCCCACCCCATAGATCTATCCATTATCCACATATTCCACCACTTAGCTCTATCCATTATCCACTTATTCCACCACCCAGCTCTTTCCATTATCCACTTATCCCACCCCTAGCTCTATCCATTATCCACTTATCCCACCCCTAGCTCTATCCATTATCCACTTATCCCACCCCATAGCTCTATCCATTATCCACTTATTCCACCACCCAGCTCTTTCCATTATCCACTTATCCCACCCCATAGATCTATCCATTATCCACATATTCCACCACTTAGCTCTATCCATTATCCACTTATTCCACCACCCAGCTCTTTCCATTATCCACTTATCCCACCCCTAGCTCTATCCATTATCCACTTATCCCACCCGATAGCTCTATCCATTATCCACTTATTCCACCCCATAGCTTTATCCATTATCCACTTATCCCACCCCATAGCTCTATCCATTATCCACTTATCCCACCCATAGTTCTAACCATTATCCACTTATTCCACCCCCTAATTCTATCCATTATCCACTTATCCCACCCCATAGCTCTATCCATTATCCACTTATTCCACCCCATAGCTCTATCCATTATCCACTTATCCCACCCCTAGCTCTAACCATTATCCACTTATTCCACCCCTAGCTCTATCCATTATCCACTTATTCCACCCATAACTCTATCCATTATCCACTTATTCCACCACCTAGCTCTATCCATTATCCACTTATTCCACCACCTAGCTCTATCCATTATCCACTTATTCCACCCCCTAGCTCTATCCATTATCCACATATTCCACCCCATAGCTCTATCCATTATCCACTTATTCCACCACCTATCTCTATCCATTATCCACTTATTCCACCCCCTAGCTCTATCCATTATCCACTTATTCCACCCCATACCTCTATCCATTATCCACTTATTCCACCCCCTAGCTCTATCCATTATCCACTTATTCCACCCCATAGCTCTACCCATTATCCACTTATTCCACCCCATAGCTCTATCCATTATCCACTTATTCCACCACCCAGCTCTTTCCATTATCCACTTATCCCACCCCATAGCTCTATCCATTATCCACTTATTCCACCACCCAGCTCTTTCCATTATCCACTTATCCCACCCCATAGATCTATCCATTATCCACATATTCCACCACTTAGCTCTATCCATTATCCACTTATTCCACCACCCAGCTCTTTCCATTATCCACTTATCCCACCCCTAGCTCTATCCATTATCCACTTATCCCACCCCTAGCTCTATCCATTATCCACTTATCCCACCCCATAGCTCTATCCATTATCCACTTATTCCACCACCCAGCTCTTTCCATTATCCACTTATCCCACCCCATAGATCTATCCATTATCCACATATTCCACCACTTAGCTCTATCCATTATCCACTTATTCCACCACCCAGCTCTTTCCATTATCCACTTATCCCACCCCTAGCTCTATCCATTATCCACTTATCCCACCCGATAGCTCTATCCATTATCCACTTATTCCACCCCATAGCTTTATCCATTATCCACTTATCCCACCCCATAGCTCTATCCATTATCCACTTATCCCACCCATAGTTCTAACCATTATCCACTTATTCCACCCCCTAATTCTATCCATTATCCACTTATCCCACCCCATAGCTCTATCCATTATCCACTTATTCCACCCCATAGCTCTATCCATTATCCACTTATCCCACCCCTAGCTCTAACCATTATCCACTTATTCCACCCCTAGCTCTATCCATTATCCACTTATTCCACCCATAACTCTATCCATTATCCACTTATTCCACCACCTAGCTCTATCCATTATCCACTTATTCCACCACCTAGCTCTATCCATTATCCACTTATTCCACCCCCTAGCTCTATCCATTATCCACATATTCCACCCCATAGCTCTATCCATTATCCACTTATTCCACCACCTATCTCTATCCATTATCCACTTATTCCACCCCCTAGCTCTATCCATTATCCACTTATTCCACCCCATACCTCTATCCATTATCCACTTATTCCACCCCCTAGCTCTATCCATTATCCACTTATTCCACCCCCTAGCTCTATCCATTATCCACTTATTCCACCCCCTAGTTCTATCCATTATCCACTTATTCCACTACATAGCTCTATCCATTATCCACCTATTCCACTACATAGCTCTATCCATTTTCCACCTATTCCACCCCATAGCTCTATCCATTATCCACTTATTCCACCCCCTAGTTCTATCCATTATCCACTTATTCCACTACATAGCTCTATCCATTATCCACCTATTCCACTACATAGCTCTATCCATTATCCACCTATTCCACCCCATAGCTCTATCCATTATCCACTTATTCCACCCCCTAGCTCTATCCATTATCCACTTATTCCACCACCTAGCTCTATCCATTATTCACCTATTCCACTACATAGCTCTATCCATTTTCCGTTTATTCCAGCCCATAGTTCTATCCATTATCCACCTATTCCACTACATAGCTCTATCCATTATCCGTTTATTCCAGCCCATAGTTCTATCCATTATCCACCTATTCCACTACATAGCTCTATCCATTATTCGTTTATTCCAGCCCATAGTTCTATCCATTATCCACTTATTCCACCACCTAGCTCTATCCATTATCTAATTATTCCACCACCTAGCTGTATCCATTATCCACTTATTCCACCCCTAGCTCTATCCATTTCCCACTTATTCCACCACCTAGCTCTATCCATTATCCACTTATCCCACCCCTAGCTCTATCCATTATCCACAAACTTTTCAGACGTCTGTGAGGTAGGCTACCACAATGAGGCTACAGTTTCTGGTTTTCACTCTGGGCGTGCTGGTCACAGTGCAGGCTAATAAAGTAAGTGACGTAACATCTATAAATAAGTGACCTATATAATACAGGTAGGTGCCCTATTGCTACAATAAAGTATAAAGCGACATATTTATAAATCTTAAAATGTAAAAAAAAAAGAACATTTCGCCGAAAATATTTTTGTTAAATGGGAAGTAACTCAACTAAAACAAATATAATCTAAAGTGGTAAGGGCTACTTCCCTTTGGTTGTCAGTTTCGTATTTATGTTTAACATTTTAAGTTGATTGTAAATTGGGAGGGAAGGGGGGGGGGGGGGGTGTCAATAGCGTGAATAAAAAATATAATTTGGGGTGCAAATTTACTATAATAAAAAAAATTTCAATTTTAAATGTTTAAAATTTCAAGATAATTTAGATAGATTTTACGCCTTTTATAATCCAACTTTTAATTTTACAGGCAAAAACGACCTCAGAGGATCCTCGAAGATCACGGAAGGTGGCCACCACTAAAGCTAAAAACCCTCCGGCCCCTGAGGTCAAAGAACAAAGTAAAGATAACTGATTTTGTTGCATTGAATATGTCTGTACTGTTTTTTTTTTAAAGCAGGCGTCGCCTATAAACAGACAAGCACATAAACACAACAACAACATCAAAAAAATAACTTAATATGGGGATTTTTTAAAACGAAAATGACAATTTTCAAAATTTATTTAATTTATTTGTAAATAGAAAAATATTTTACATAATCAGAAATTTTAAAGATATGCTCCAACACAATAATGATTTATTTGTTACACCCGTTTTGTCATACTCATCGTGGTCGCTCTCATCAAAGTGACATCACTATGCCATGTCAGTTTCCTGAATGTGACGTCATTGTCGTACACGTCATGTCAGTTACCTGTGACGTCATTGTCGTAAACGTCATGTCAGTTCCCTGTGACGTCATTACTTTGACCCCCAGATCCCTGCTCACGTAAGAAATGTTACCGAGGTGAGACGTGTCAGCTGACAGAGAACAGAGAGGCGGAGTGTGTGTGTTACACTAGGTGTGCTGAGATCTACGCTGGACTGGAGGTGAGGGGTGGTTTGGTGAGGGTTTGGGGTGGATAGTGTGTGTGTGTGGGGGGGTTACACCAGGTGTGCTGAGATCTACGCCGGCCTAGAGGTGAGGGGTGGTTTGGTGAGGGTTTGGGGTGGATAGAGTGTGTGTGGGGGGGGGGGGTTACACCAGGTGTGTTGAGATCTACGCAGGCCTAGAGGTAAAGGGTGGTTTGGTGAGGGTTTGGGGTGGATAGTGTGTGTCGGGGGGGGGAGTGTTACACCTGGTGTGCTGAGATCTACGCAGACCTAGAGGTAAAGGGTGGTTTGGTATCATAGAGAGGGGTGAGGGTCTTGAGGTGGGGATGGGTGGTTTGTGTGGGTTTGGGGTGGATAGTGTGTGTCGGGGGGGGGGGGGAGAGTGTTACACCTGGTGTGCTGAGATCTACGCAGGCCTAGAGGTAAAGGGTGGTTTGGTATCATAGAGAGGGGTGAGGGTCTTGAGGTGGGGATGGGTGGTTTGTGAGGGTTTGGGGTGGATAGTGTGTGTCGGGGGGGGGGGGGGGAGTGTTACACCTGGTGTGCTGAGATCTACGCTGGACTAGAGGTGAGGGGTGGTTTGTGGTGAGGGTTTGGGGTGGATAGTGTGGGGGGGTTACACCAGGTGTGCTGAGATCTACGCTGGACTAGAGGTGAGGGGTGGTTTGTGGTGAGGGTTTGGGGTGGATAGTGTGTGTGTGTGGGGGGGGGTTACACCAGGTGTGCTGAGATCTAAGCCGGTCTAGAGGTGAGGGGTGGTTTGGTGAGGGTTTGGGGTGGATAGAGTGGGGGGGGGCTACAGCAGATGTGCTGAGATCTAAGCCGGTCTAGAGGTGAGGGGTGGTTTGGTGAGGGTTTGGGGTGGATAGTGTGTGTGTGGGGGGGGGGGGGTTACACCAGGTGTGCTGAGATCTACGCCGGCCTAGAGGTGAGGGGTGGTTTGTGAGGGTTTGGGGTGGATAGTGTGTGGGAGTGGGGGTTACACCAGGTGTGCTGAGATCTACGCTTGACTAGAGGTGAGGGGTGGTTTGGTGAGGGTTTGGGGTGGATAGTGTGTGGGAGTGGGGGTTACACCAGGTGTGCTGAGATCTACGCTTGACTAGAGGTGAGGGGTGGTTTGGTGAGGGTTTGGGGTGGATAGTGTGTGTGTGCTACAACAAAATGTGCTGATATTTACTCTAGCCTTGAGTGAGGAGAGATTTCATTAGCCTTGGGGTGGAGCTGAATGATATAACCTTTATATCCGAGAAAACAAATTCACATTTGCTACGTGCCCACTTGTGTTCGCAAACTCTATATTTATCTCTATCCTTCTAGAAAATCGATCTTCTAAAATTAAACCAGAAAGCTTCTCTAACTAGATGGTTGGGACTGTCTGGTGTTAATTGTGTGGCTAATGTTTCATTGTGTAATTGATGCTGATGTTGTTACTGATGTTGTGGCTCATGATGTGGCTCATGTTGTGGCTCATGTTGTGGCTGATATTGATGTAGCGGCTGATGTTGTGACTGATGTTGTGGCTGATATTGAGGTTGCAGCTGATGTTGTGACGGATGTTGCAGCTGATGTTGATTTTGTGACTTTCCCCAGGTGTGTAGCAACAACAACATGACCTACAAGTCCGAGTGTCACCTTGACCTTGACCACTGCCTCTGCTCCAACAACAGACAGGGTTGCCTCTCTCCTGGCAAGAGGAAGATCTACCTGGAGTACTACGGGGCGTGTCGAGGTTCTTTGCATAAATGTTGTGTACTTTTTTTCGGTGAGGAGAGGGGCAGAGACGTAGTGACCCGTTCCGGCGCTCGGGATGAACTATCAATGTTCGTCCTCCATTTAGTTATTCATGTTGGCAAAAATATGCCCCACCTCCCACCAGTTTGGAAAGTTTGTGTCGCTTTTACCAGCCACTGTCCCTTGACAGTTTTTATTTTACTGGCACAGTTGATCTAGAAAATACGTCCGTAAAGCCAAAACGCTGTCCTTCTTAACTTTAACTAATGCAGCTCAGAGTGAGCTATTTTTTCCCATCCTGTTTTGGCACCCCCTTAGGGTCGGCCGATCCACCCGCTCTCCCATAGCTACGCCTCTGAATGTTGAAGGGGAGGGGGAGGAGGTGTTAGGTCCTGATTTTTTACATAATGTGTTTTATGTGATGTTTAGTAATAGATTTAATTTAGGGACATAGAAAGGGCTATAATTAAAGCTAAGGGTTAGGTGTATGTTAAACTTAATGGAGATGTAGATCAAGTTAGCCGTTTCTTTTTTTCACGCGAAACCCCGTTTATTTTTATTTGGTTATCATTGTTTAAAAAAACAGTAGAGTTCATCTGTTTCTAGGAGTTTAATTTATGAAGCCACGTGTTATATTCAGATGATTATCTTTTCTACTGACACTTTTCAGTATTTTGTTTACTACTGCAGTAATACATCGTTTGATTCTAGGAAAAGGTAAAATAAAATAGTTCCAAACTTTCAGAACTTCGGAAATGTGAACCCGGTGCAGCGGCCCAGTTTCCAGACCGAATGAGGCAGTGGTTGTTTGTCGTGATGGAAGAAATGGTGAGGAGTTTTTTTTTAAAGATTTGATTTAATTTAAAAATGGGCTTAAATGTGGTTTCCCAAACTATATACTCGATTCGCATTTCGTTTTAAAATTAAATAATACCGTGTTAATCCTGGTATGAATGGAAAAGTTTATGTTTCAATAATTAAAGAATTATATAAGTATTTGTATGTAATTTTTATGTGATTTATTTTCAAGGCTAATATGTTCTTTCATATAACACAATAATCCTTGTTCACAACACACGAACAACGGCAGTACACACAAAAACACAATTCACAAACACACTGCCTAAAACAACAACAAATAAACCGGTAGTGATCTCCCCTAAACTTTCTCGAATATTCTTATATAAAACAACAGGGGATGGTAACTGGGGATATAGTTATGATTTTTAATCCATTTTAAATACTTAAACTTTTAAAAATAGAATAGAATCTCATAAAAAAAACATTGCGCACCAAGCAAACGCCGAATAAAAACGCGTATAATCGTGCGCAATATTATTAGTACTTTAAAAATGTACATTAGTTTTTTGAGAAATCGGAAGTAGCGTAAATTACTACTTCCAGTCAACGGAAATTACTCAAAATTTAACAGAAGGTAGAGAATTAGATCTTTTACTTACATGTGAAATTTCATTGATCTATCTGAAATAGTACTCAAGTTATAGGCTTTTGAAAAATTCAAAGTAGGAAAAGTACCACTTCCGGTTATCGGAAATCGCTCAAAAGTTGATACGGATCCACGATTTTGATAAAATACTTATATATGAAATTTCATCAACCTAGCTGTAACGGTACTCAAGTTATCGTGTTTACACACGGACAGACAGACACACAGACACACACACACACAGACATACGGACAAGATTGCAAAATTATGTTTTTCCGTATCAGTGAGGTGTAAAACGTCGAGATTTGTAAAAATCTCGATTTTTTTTTTTTGCACGATTACAATACTTTCTCTATACTACGTATATACGAGAAAGTAAAAAAGACCTACACATACACAAACTCAAAAACACAGACACAGTAAAAAAAAACACACACACACAATCCAAAAAAAAACATCCAACTCAAAACAAAACTGCAACCTAAACAACATACACGCAAAAGCACACATAAGTTGAAACCATTGTAAAAACAAAACACACACACACACAAACACACATACACACAATCCCTTCTTTCAAAACCCCCTCACTCAATAAAACAACCACCCAATTCCCCCTCCCTATTTTACACACATTTATTGCCCCGCATGTACTCACACCAGGCAGAACGTGCATCTCTAGGTGAGTACCAAGCCCTGCTGGACGAGGCGATGAAAGACGAAAGCCACGCCTACGCGTCTGTCTGGAAGTTTTGTGACCTGGATGTTGACCCCCAGGACAGGTGACGTCACCTTTAAACCCTAGTTTTATAAACAAAACTTCACATTGTGTTACTGCATGGGGTGTGGTGGTAGGGATATCACAATGGTGTGGCCACGGTACATTTGATAAGTACTGCCCTCCTTCTTCTTCCTTCTTAACTGTAATTTTTATTGGAAAAGGTTTCCACCTACACAAGATGATCGGTATGTGTCATCATGTTATGTTGGCTGCGGTCAGTTGAACCCAATTCAATTTATTTTCTAATGAATTTGCTTCTATAGCATTTGTACAGCTAAGAACAATTTACAGTTGTTTGATTTTTTTAGTTTTCTTCCTCCCCATATATATATATATATATATATATATATATATATATATATATATATATATATATATATATATATATATATATATATATATATATATATATATATATATATGTAACTAGGGTGGGCCTAGTTACTAGTCACTATTGTTGAGAACGCGATAGTGCAGGTGTTGGACTGATAAGCCAACTGATAACGATCATAAAGCCACGGCGTAGTTTGGAAGGATACGACAAGCGCTGTCAACTTTGACACGACTTGGCTGACGAAACAGTGCAGATGTTATATTAATCGGACTGTACGACAGAAGCGGCGTAATTAACATTCTGATGCAACGATTAGAATCGATTACGATTACGATTATGATAGAACCGAATACGACTACGGATACGAGGGGGATATAAGGAAGGCGACGGCTGAGCTCGCAGTCTCTCTCGCTCTCTCTCTCGATCAGTCAGTCTGTGTGGCAGTATCAAGTTGGTTATATTGTGTTAAGAAGGACGATAGACATGTGTATTCAGTTATATGAAGACTAGTGAGGACTGTTGGGAGTCAGTTGATTCAAACTATTATTGTGAAGCATTCCTTTTGATTCATTATATTATTGTGAAGCATTTCTTTGATTCATGTAATAAAAGGATCAATAGCGAACCTGCATCTTCGAGTATCTATACTGTGGTCGATGTTGTGTAGAATGAGTGGTTAGACTCGGTAACATTTGGCGTTGTCGAGCAGAACTCGTTAACATTTGGCACTACAGGCAAATAGTCTCGTTACATTTGGCTCTGCGAGCAGGATACTCTCGTTACATTTGGCGCTGCGGACAGGATGAATTCAACTAGACTTGCCGCTTTAGGCACCCATAGTCAACCTTGTTCATAACTGTGTTTCGTGTGTGTGTGAATTCGGACATTCAGGAACAGTGAAAATTGAGGAACGAGGAAAATTTTTCATACACACACGGTAAGAAAGAACTCTTTTTTTTTTACTCAAGGAATAAAATGTCTACTCTGGACGAGAAGCAGACCCATATTGTGGTCCTGCCCAGAGAGTCCCACATTAACAAATTTTACGGGGACGGTGATCCAGCTTTAACCAACAGGTTCAGTGAAGAGGTCAAAGCGGCCTGGGCCTCGAGACACATGTCACCAGAGGAAAGATTAAGACTGCTGATGGGCAGTATAGGAGAGACGGTTAGGGCAGAGGTCAAATGCCACGATAAAACCATCCAATCAGATCCAGATAAGGTGCTGGATCTAATTATGGAGACCTTTGGGGAGAGACGGTCGGGATCGCAACTGCTATCGGGTTTCGTAGGCTTAAAGCAGAGAATGGCGGAGAGTGTGATGGAGTATTCACACCGAATGAACAGGGCCTTTGATTCGGTAAAGGGCAAAACACCTGACATTGATGTACGCCTACTGAGGGACCATTTCATCGAGGGGCTAGCAACCCCGATCTTAAGGAGAGAGTTGAAAGAGGAGGTCCACAAAGACCCGCAGTTGACCTTCCTTCAGGTCAGGAACTCAGCGATCCGCAGGTCCGAGGATGAGGACCAATCGAACTGTTCGGTGGACACAGTCTCTGTGCCGGAACAGAAACAATCCCCACCCACAGGGACCGGCACGGTGGAAACCATGATGGCTCAACTGTTGGCTCACCTGGATAAGGTTGACCAACGATTGGAGAGGTTAGAGAGCAGGTCAACAGCTGAGAATCAGGAAAAGAACGGGCCAAAACAGAGACAGGTTGGACGGCCGCGACCCGCCGGTCCATCGCTCCGGTGGACGGCCGACGGTCGACCAATTTGCTTGTCCTGTTCACAACCCGGACACATGGCACGGTACTGCCAGGGAAACGGTCGTCCTCTGTAAGGCAGGGCCAGGCTACAGAGGGGCGAGGTTATGGCCCAAGAAACAAAATGATGGGAGTCTGTCCCGAAATGGTGATTACGATTGGGGACATCGCGGTGAAGGCAATTGTGGATACAGGCTCCCAGGTGACGACAATTACGGAAAATTTTTACACCAAATGGATGAAAGGAAAAGACCATAGGTTGAGGTCTGACACATGCATGCGCCTGACGGCAGCTAATGGACTAACCATTCCATACTGTGGTTATTTTCTGGCGGATGTCGTGGTGGCAGGACATAGGTTGAAGCAGGTTGGGGTGTTCGTTACGAAACACAACCTAGAGACAAATGTGTCAAATATACCTTGCCTGTTGGGCATGAATATTCTTGGCCAGTTGCCAGAATTTCTTACAAATATTGTCGGATCGACCACACCAGGTCGGGGATCCAAGTTGGCCAGGTTTGCCAAGACCAGAGGAAGGATATCAGTCCCGGCAAACACGGTCAAGGCAATCACATTACAAATTGGTGATAAAAGCGTGAATGGTGATGTGATGATAGAACCATGTGGCGCCGCACTGAGGGCAGGCGTCGTGTTACTGCGGACATACACATCAGCGGAGAAGGGACTAGTTCAAGGATTAGTGGCAAATGTTTTGGATGAGGAAATTTTTATACCGCCTAATACTCTGGTAGGAGTACCACAGAACGTCGAGGTACTAAGGTCGGCACAGTGCATCGAACTGAGCAATACCAGCAGTAATGAAGTAACAATTAGGTCGGTCAATGTGACGGCCGAGGTGAAGAAAGAGGATGGCCGATCATATACATTCCCGGAAACTGAGGACCCAAAACTAAATGAATTGCTGAATAAATACAGGGATATATTTGCCTCGTACGAGGGTGATTTGGGTTACACGGAAGTAATAAAACACCAGATACCCTTACTACAAGACAAGCCGGTGGCGCAACCTTATCGAAGATTACCACCAAGTCACTACTCTGCGGTGAAAGCACACCTGAACGATCTACTAAAAAAGGGAATTATTACAACCAGCACTAGCCCGTATGCGGCACCGATAGTAGTGGTAAAAAAGAAGTCAGGGGAGATAAGACTGTGTTGTGATTACCGGAAATTGAACAATATCACAAGAAGGGATGCATTCCCCTTGCCTCGTATTGATGAATGTCTTGATGCGTTGGGGGGAGCAAGATTTTTTTCTACCTTGGATTTGGCTAGCGGCTACCACCAAGTGGCCATGCACCCCAACGATCAACATAAGACTGCATTTATTTCTCCACTGGGACTGTACGAGTGGACCCGTATGCCGTTTGGTCTAACTAATGCGCCTGCTACATTCCAGCGAGTAATGCAGAGTGCTATGAGTGACTTTCTATTTCAAATAATGTTGGTGTACTTGGATGATATACTAGTTTACTCAAAAACTTGGGAGGACCATCTAAAAAGATTAGAACAAGTGTTTCTCCGTCTTAGGGAGATAGGAGTAAAGCTGAACCCAGACAAATGCTGCTTTGGTTTGAAATCGGTACATTTTTTGGGTTACGTGATTTCGTCGGATGGCATCGCCACTGACCCAGATAAAATTGCAGCTGTTAAAGAATGGAAACAACCAACAACCACGGTAGAGGTCAGATCATTCTTGGGCTTTGCTTCCTATTATAGAAAATTTGTACCTGGTTTTGCAAAAATTGCCGCACCATTGCATGACTTGGTAAACAAAATGACAAAGAAACACAGTAAGGAGAAAAAGAAAGGCAAAACACAACTGATAGGTGAATTATGGACTGAGGAATGCCTGAACTCGTTTAAGCTACTGAAAAAGGCTTTGACAGAGACGCCGATATTAGGATACGCAGAATTTGACAAACCATTTCGGCTAGAAATTGACGCCAGCTCGAAAGGTCTGGGAGCTGTGCTATCACAACAACAAAAGCAAGGTTTCAGGGTTATTGCGTATGCCAGTCGAGCTCTGAAGGAATCAGAGAAGAACATGACAAATTACAGCGCCATGAAACTAGAACTTTTGACATTAAAATGGGCTGTGACTGAAAAATTCAGGGACTATCTATTAGGTGCTAAATGTGTGGTATACACTGACAATAACCCCTTGAGTCACCTAAAGACAGCAAAGTTGGGATCCATCGAACAGCGATGGGCAGCAGAATTGGCACTCTTTGACCTGGAGATAAAATATCGCCCGGGGCGGTCCAATGGCAATGCGGACGCCTTATCAAGGAATCCTTACGAGAGACCGGGCGATGAGGAAGAAACGCTGACAGGAATATGTGAGGTCAGAGCGTCAACAGATATCCCTCACGGGGTGCAAGTGATGCAAAACGGGCAGACCGGGGTGGAGCACATTTCCACAGAGCCCGGACATATGGACATTAGTGATTTTAATTGTCTTAATCACAAAGAGATAAGAGATGCCCAGAGAACGGATAGTGGCTTACAGCCGCTGTTGAAACACGTCCAGGAACAAAAATTCCCAGGAAGAAGGGAAAGAGAACAATTTGGTCGAGAAACAAAGAAAATACTGACTCAGTGGGACCGTCTCAGTATAAAGGATGGTGTTCTCATGCGGAGAATTCATGACCAAATTGATGGGACAATACACCAGGTGGTGGTGCCTGGACAATTACGAGAAGAAGTGCTAAGGTTGGCACATGACAGGGCAGGACACCAGGGTCAGGACAGGACGCACAAAATATTACGACGGCGGTGTTACTGGCCCAATATGGAAATGGAGGTCAAACACCATTGTGAGGCTTGTGTTAGGTGTCAGCATGCGAAAATGCCAGTTGTCAAAATGAGACAGCCATCAGGACACCTACTAGCGACAAAACCACTAGAGATTGTGGCTATGGACTTTACGTCGTTGGAGCAATCATCGGATGGGACGGAACATGTGTTGGTAATGACTGATGTATTCACCAAATGGACTGTGGCGGTGCCCACACGAGATCAGACTGCCAAAACAGTGGCAAAGGTCTTAATAGAACATTGGTTCATCAAATATGGCATACCAAGACAATTACACTCTGACCAAGGAAGGGCCTTCGAGTCAGAAGTAATTAACCAACTGTGCAGCCACTACGGGATCAACAAATCTAGAACAACCACATTTAATCCGAAAGGAAACGGACAGTGCGAGCGGTTCAACCGCAGCATGCATGATTTGCTGCGTACGCTAGAACCTGAACAGAAAAAACGTTGGCCTGATTTTCTCCCAGAGTTGGTATATCTATACAACTGCACCCCCCATGCCACAACCGGCTTTTCGCCACACATGTTGCTGTTCGGACGGGAGGCTCGACTCCCTCTTGACTTGTTCCTAGGAAAAAAGGAGAGTATGACTGGCTCATACACTGCACTGGAATATGTGAATGAACATATGAGACGAATTAGAGAAATGTACAGGGTAGTACAGGAAAGACTAGAACATGAAGCACGGCGAAGGGAACCGCCGGTACAGACAAAGGACCCGCCACTCAAACTGAACGACAGGGTATTACTGCGTAGCCACCCGTTAGGCAGAAACAAAATCCACGATCTCTGGGGACAGGAGATATGGCAAGTCGTGGAGATGCCTAAAGTAGCAGGTGGCCCCTTTAAGATAAGACCCATCGATCACGCCAAACCGGATCGGTGGGCGAATATTGCTCAATTAAAGAAATATTGTCATAGTCAAGAAGAGCAGTTACACACAAGGAAACCCAAGACAAGTAGGGAACCGGAAACTATAACGGAAGTTCACATACCCATCCCGGAACCATGTCACCATCAACAGAACAACAGCGAGACACAAGTGGAGGATAACGGCAACGAAGAGGATCCCGTTCCTCCCAGAAGCAGAGAGACAGTAGACCATCAGATAAGTGGTCCACGGAGAAGTTTGAGAAACAGAAAGAATACGAAATTTTTTGTCAGCAACCATCAATTCTTTCATGGTCGCGCTGGTATGAGAACAGACTGTTCAAAAAGTCATAAAAGTGAACTGGTGAAGGCACCAAACGAAAAAAGGTGGATGTGAATTCTAGAACTGTTTTGTGTCTGAGGAATATGATGTAGACACATTTGATATGTGAAATAGGGATAACTGTCAATCTTTTACGAATGGGACGACATTGACAGTGAATGGAACAATAAATTTTTTTTACGATGGTGCGATGGACATTTAGGAAGTGCACCTACCAAGCGTTGTTTGTGGTTGAAAACACACAAAAAAAGGCGGCGGTGGATGTAACTAGGGTGGGCCTAGTTACTAGTCACTATTGTTGAGAACGCGATAGTGCAGGTGTTGGACTGATAAGCCAACTGATAACGATCATAAAGCCACGGCGTAGTTTGGAAGGATACGACAAGCGCTGTCAACTTTGACACGACTTGGCTGACGAAACAGTGCAGATGTTATATTAATCGGACTGTACGTCAGAAGCGGCGTAATTAACATTCTGATGCAACGATTAGAATCGATTACGATTACGATTATGATAGAACCGAATACGACTACGGATACGAGGGGGATATAAGGAAGGCGACGGCTGAGCTCGCAGTCTCTCTCGCTCTCTCTCTCGATCAGTCAGTCTGTGTGGCAGTATCAAGTTGGTTATATTGTGTTAAGAAGGACGATAGACATGTGTATTCAGTTATATGAAGACTAGTGAGGACTGTTGGGAGTCAGTTGATTCAAACTATTATTGTGAAGCATTCCTTTTGATTCATTATATTATTGTGAAGCATTTCTTTGATTCATGTAATAAAAGGATCAATAGCGAACCTGCATCTTCGAGTATCTATACTGTGGTCGATGTTGTGTAGAATGAGTGGTTAGACTCGGTAACATTTGGCGTTGTCGAGCAGAACTCGTTAACATTTGGCACTACAGGCAAATAGTCTCGTTACATATATATATATATATATATATATATATATATATATATATATATATATATATATATATATATATATATATAAAGGCGATTACGCTTAGTTCTTTTTCTCCACAATATTTTCCCCATTTCACAAAATTTTTATTATCCATGGGCATTATGTCTGGGTGGTGTGTATGTGGGGGAGGGGGGGGGGGAGGGGGGGGGTAGTGTCATGGAACCATTATATATGCTTTGATTTATAATCAAAATAATGCTAGTTGTTCCTTTAAATGTTATGAAAATAAATTCCTGTACATTTAATATTCCGTTGAAAAATGATGAAAAAATCAAATCATCTTTAAAACTGATTGTCACCAGAAAGGTGACCCGCAAAGAGCTCCAGTTTCTGACGCGGAGTCTGAAGGCCATGGAGCATTGTCTCGAGCCTTTCCTTGATGGCTGCGACGTCAACAAGGACAGGGAGATAACCCTGGTTGAATGGGGAAAATGTCTTGGACTCACTAATGGTAGGTTGTTGTCATGGACGTTGGCAGAGTTTCTTCCAGGCATCTCTTCGGGGGGGCAAAGCCCCCCCGAAAAATTTTTACCGCCCCCCCCCCCCCGAACGAAATGAAATTTATATAATTTATATAGAAAATATATACTTTTAACAGTGTCGGCCCCCCTCGAAGAAAGTCTACCGCCCCCCCCCCCCCCCGAAAATTTCAAGTGCACCCCCGGAGAAAAAAGTCTGGAAGAAACACTGGACGTTGGTCTCAAACCAGACCTGGTGGGGAGGGGGGGTAGTTGAGAAAACAAAATTGATTGCGCATATTATAATTAACTAGGAGAAATATATGGCATATTTAATAAGTTAATTTTTTTTTAATAAAGCTGATTTTCCAACGAAAACGTTGTTCAAAAGGTTTAGATTTTGCATTTTTGTATATTAATATATTTTGTTCTATGAGATTAGTCTCGATTAGTTGTTGCTTTTAATGCAACGAGCCGGCCCGCGGCATAACATACGCCGCTATTTAGTTGTTTCTAATTTTCAATAATTCATAATTTGTGAATTCGACAGTACCAACGCTGACACTGAAAATATTTCTTTAAAACACTATAAGTAGCTCGTTAAGGACCATAACCCCCCCCCCTTCCTTCCCCTCCCCCCCCCCCCCTACGTTTAAAATCGTTGGCTCTGCTTGTAAACATTTAGAGTGAACACAGCTCACTAAAACCATGTAGGGGTGGGGAGGTAGGGAGAGCGTTTGCAGCTTGTTTTCTAACGGCTCGAAGAGGAGAATTATATATATAGATGTTATATAACACTACCTTGATTATAAAAGCTATGACATTTTCTCTACTCATTTTCTTCCAAGTGTCGTGATGGTAAAATAAAAATACTTTTAAAATATTTCAGATAAAATCAAGGACAAATGCCTGGACATACATAAGCACGCGCCAAAACAGCGTGGGAGCAGGAGTACATAAATAACACGTGGATGTTTGCAGCACAAACAAGCTATAAAAAAATAACTTCATATCAATGGCTGATTTGTCTGTGTTGCTGTTTGTTGTTGGTTTCTTTATTTTCATTTTTTGTGTGTGTTTACGAAGTTAGCATCTCTATCTTAGAAGTGTAGGCCTAAATTTAAATAATGAAAACTTGTTCTGATGATAAGTCAATGATGTAACAGTGGCGTAGGCAAGGGGGGGGGGGGGTTAGGGGGGGGGGGGGGGTTATAACCCCTCCCATGGACTCACACCCCTATATATATATATATATATATATATATATATATATATATATATATATATATATATATATATATATATATATATATATGATTTTATACATATGGAAAAATATTTGAACCCCTCCCATGACCAACTCCTGGCTACGCCACTGTGATGTAATGTTAATTTACTCGCAAACCCTTACTCTTTCGTGTAAACAACTAACTCCATTATAAAAATATCGCAATTTTTGTTCGCTTTATTATTTTTCGTATTTTTGTTCCGTATATTGTAAGGTTTCACATCACATTAAGTTTAACTGTGTGTTAATACATTAAAAGGATACATGCAATATAGATTATTTAACTTTTAGAATAACATTTTTTTTTCAGACTATTGAAAATTAAGAGTTCATTTATTAAATAGACATGTTCACTTTTTTATACAATAAAAATAATTATTGCTCGAAATTTTGAAGTGATTGAAATTTGTTTTTTTAAGTAACTTAAAGAATCAAACCAAGTAAACAGACCACCTAATTCAACATATAAACAATTTAATGAATTAATGCTTATCAGAGGTCAATTAATGAGGTCATTAAATGGTAGCCCGTTTTACCCTGCTTGCTTTACTAGCGGATTATTTGACACACACACACACTTACATACCAACATCACAGCAACACATACATATTATCAATATCATTACAACACACATACCCATAAAAATGCTTATCTCAAAGCAACACACACACATAAATATCAATATCACAGCATCACTCATACGTAAATACCAGTCCAATATCATTGCAATCAATGTTGATATAACCTTTAACTTGACCAGTTTTGGAATTGGTGACATATTTTCTTTGCTGGGTGTTTTATTGTGAACATTTTTAAAAATCTGGATTTATTTTTTAAGGGGAAAAAAAGACGATTTAAAAAAAAATATGCTTAATCACAAAAAAATATTGTAATAATTTAAATGAAGCCTTAAAAACACCCTCAACAAACTCGAGAGGAGGCCCTATTAAACTAAAACAAGAATATAAAAATAACTTAAGAGAAATATCAAATGCGACCTTTCTCCTCCCCCCCTCCCCCCCCCCCCCACCCTTCACATATTTGTGGCGTCACCTTGCTAATGTAATAGCCTATAGCGCAAAGCTACACTAATGTTTGGTGGAGTGTCACATTAGCTAAGAATAACAACGGTTTGTAATTCTTCATTTACGACTTGCGTTGTTAGTTTCGAATTCGCTTTTGCTGAACATGACGTACGTCATAGCCTACCACTACAGCCCACACAGGGGCCATAACTTCGAGTCAGAACTTGTCTCTCCCCAATTTGTCGCCCCTGGGGCTCCTTACTTTCAGACGTAATAAATTATCTCCTGTTTGATCAATGACGGCTCAACGCTTTAAAAATGACGATAATGCGGTCACGTGACCTTAGTCCGGTGAGCTGATTGGATGATGGCTTGTGTAAACATTTTAGTCAACTATGGTTACATCACCCAGCGCCCAGATTAAGCATGAACTGCCAATTTGGGCATGCTTAAAGTTTTGAGTTTCCTTGGTTGTTCGTTAAACAAAGGTCAGGATATCCTCCCTCTCCCGTTTCTTCCATCACCCCCCCCCCCCTCCCCGTCCCCACATACATATTCAAGATTGTACGGGTCGTCTTCATGACACCACCCATCAAGGGAGGAGGGCGGTCGGGGGTGAAAATTGTTTGATCACCTGTCCTGTGGGGAAAAAGTGGGAATTTTAAGTATTGAAATGATCAGTGTGGTAACATGGGTGTGTGTGTATGTATGTATATGTGGATTCTATTTTCGTGTCACTCCAGCGGCCCTTCCATTTTATGGCGGCGAAGCATCATCTGCGCCAGTTTTCCTTTCAGGCACCTCCTTGAGGAGGGGTGGGGCAAAGTGCGCCCCCATACCAAAAGCGCTTCTACCCCCCCCCCCCCCCCAAAAAAAAGAAATAAAATGTATCTAGAAAATATGGGCTATACTTTTACCAGCGCCCAACCTCCCCCCCCCCACGGACAATTTAGTCAGCCCCCTCCCCCGATAGTTAAACTGCTTACCCCCCCCCCCCCCGTGTGAAAAAGTCTGTAAGAAACACATGGTGTCTCCCTCCCTCCATTCGACGCTTAGTTTGTGTATTGTGTGCAATTACTGTCACACTTTCGCCTAATGAATCTACTGCGCGCATCCCCCACCCCCCACCCAGCTCGTGCGTGACGTCATCACTAGCAGGAAGTTGACCGTGTCACCTTTTGGCGCATCTTGTACAGATGCACATATTTTTTAGCGCAATTTCCATTCTGGAGAATTGCGTTTATTAACAGAGTTTCTTCCAGGCATCTCTTCGGGGGGGCGAAGCCCCCCCCGAAAAATTTTTACCGCCCCCCCGAACGAAATGAAATTTATATAATTTATATAGAAAATATATACTTTTAACAGTGTCCGCCCCCCCCCCCCCCGAAGAAAGTTTACCGCCCCCCCGAAGATTTCAAGTGCCCCCCCGGAGAAAAAAGTCTGGAAGAAACACTGTTTATTAACCCGTCATTTCTGGATGTATGAATGTATGAATGTGTGTCCGCAGCTTTAAGTCGTATCTCCTCCTCAACGAAGCAATATCGAGGACTAGTTCCAAAGCAATTATGTTAAGCAAGTTACCAGGATGATAGTGGGCCAAAAAAATTCCGGGTTTCTTTCATTGATTTCCCGGAAAAGCCAAAAAACCTCGAAAAATGCAGTTTTTGGCCCATATCTCGGCAACCAGACCACTTAGCGACTTAAAACATTTACCAATCGATTCCTGCCATAATTTAGAACAATATTGCCGAAAAAAGTTTTCAAAAATATCCTTTCGTTCGGTCACAACATTTTTTTTTAATCAATTAAAATTTGGACCGAATTAGTAGGCATGTTTATCCAACCACACCACCCGCGTCATCACGTTCAATAGCTGCGCCATCACGTTCAATGGCTGCGTCATCACGTTCAGTAGCTAGGCGCGCAATGGTTTTTAGTCATGTAACTCTATTGTAAATAAAACATGTAAAATACTGAAATTTTTTTTAATAAAAAACGTTTTAATAACTAATTACTTACTAACCAATGGTTTTACTAACCCTGCTCTTGATTTACGCTACGACAGAGCTATTTTTAGATAACATAAGGAAATTGCGCTAAAATTGTCGTTAGACTTTTTAATTACCTTGTTTTTTTAAGTGGACTGTTTTAGAATCGCTTTGAAAATATTTGGAGAAAATAACTGATTTAATGTACAGAAAAATATTACTCAAAAAGCGTTAAAATGGGTTTAAGATGCAGATGCTTTAATTAAAGTTTTCCACATAATTACGACTTATAATCATCATTTTATCAATATCATCATCGTCATCATCTTTTCCCTCTTGTGTCCAATACACGAAGGGCCGTCACAGAAAGCTATTTTCCATCTTTGCCGGTCCCTGGAAAATTTGCTCCTATTGACTACTAACAGATAGGCCCGGAGTTTCTTTCATGCATCTCTTATCCCCACAAAAAATAGACGTAAATTCTTGTCCATAACATACAGTGTTTCTTCCAGACTTTTTTCTCTGGGAGGGAGGGGGGGGGGCACTTCAATTTTTTTTGGAGGGGGGGTGTTGGGGGCGGACTAAAATTTCCCAGAGGGGGGTACGGCACTGTTAAAAGTATATATATATATATATATATATATATATATATATATATATATATATATATATATATATATATATATATATATATATATATATATATATATATATATATATATATATATATATATATATATATATATATATATATAAATTGCGCCTGCTAATCCGAAAGTCTCGAATTATGGAAAGTAAAGACGGTTGGGCATGGTGCTGACCACATACTATCCATTCATTTGCCGAGGTCAAAGAAACCGTTCACTTGCCACATTGGCCGTCTTGTTAGAAAGGGAACTTTACTAAAACTATATATAATAATTGAACATTATTTTACTAAATAGTTTAAAACAAAAAATCGTCATGTTCTGTCGGGAAATTTAACGTAGTTCACACACATATAAAACATATTCCTATCTAACATGATATGTCAGTTTATGCCTTATTTCTTATTGCTGTCTTATTTCATTTTACTAAAGTATTTGAAGTGACTAGGATCACATAATTTTTTTTTATTATAAGAAAACAAATGGCCTGGACATGGGCCTTAAATTTAGATTTATATCTTTTCTAATAAATAAAAAATAGATCTAGGCATAGGCCTAGGTGAGGAGAAAAAAAGTTTCGTGTGTGTGTGTGTGTGTGTTGTATTTTACCGGTATCATGACGCGTAGTATTTTTATGTATGCCGGTTGGTAAGCTATAGACTATTTTGAATCGTATTTTTGTATTATAGTTCTTTTTTATTATCAGTAACGAACAAATAGGATACACACAGATAATAAAATTACACAGCTTAATGAAATTATGTATTCATTATTTTAAAAAAATTTATAATAAAATATTATTTACTTTCTAGTCTTATCTAGTCGTGAAAAGTCTGGCCAAGGCTATTTAGTTTTTCCATTTACGGCGCAACATGGCAGAACGAGAATCCGAGCAAGTATGAAAGAAAATTTTATTTAATTGCGTACATTCATTTGAATACATTTAATTTCTATAAATTTAACGTAATTGTTTAAATTGTATAGATTTAAGTCTATAAAAATGTTAACAATGTTAAATAAACCTTTACTTTTTAAAAACCAAATATCCACTTGCCGACCATGGCCGGCCTTGCGGTCTTCTAATCTATGTCTACGTTACGTACGCTCCAGTATGGTGTCACCATACCATTGTGTTTTCAGGGTACTTTTCTAAACATTGAGTCCTTTTAGATTTTTATTTCAGATTTCAAAGCACTCTATTCATATAAGCTTCACTCTCCCTGTAAATTACTAGGCATATTATATGTTATTTTTTTCTTTTTTTAGGCTGTTTAACATGGCCATGGCAAGTTCCTCAGCTTGTTTTTACTGGCTTAGCTTAGCAGTTAGCTGAGCTCTAAAATTAGTAAAATACCCTAAAGCAGGGGTTTGGCGCCTGCCGAACGATTCGTATGTGCCCGCCTCTCACTATTCGACAGAGACAGATTTTTTTCATAAATATTATTGAAAGGTTGAAGGGGGATGGAAATTGAAAGTTTGAGGGGGGGGTGCAAATCGAAAGTTGTGTCCCCGGGTGCCGGGAAGGGTCGCTACGCCTCTGGAAGGAGTTTGTCAATTTAAAATAGGTGGTGCCCGCCTCCCTACCGATATTTTAGAATGTGCTCTAGAGTAAAAAAGAGTTGGGAACCCCTGCCCTAAAGTCTAGATTCTAGACCTAGATTTATGTAGGGCCTATACCTAGCTAAAACTAGATCTACAATATATATATATATATATATTTCGCCTCTAGATCTATCAGAAACTGAGGGATACCTAAATTTTAAACTTTTAACAAAGTTAACCTAAAGTATTTTATTAGTAGTTTAGTAGGCCTAGTAAGTTAGATTACAACTTTTTAAGGTCAGGGGTTGGCAAAGTGATGCTTCAGATTGCATGACATCTTTCCTCCCAAGCAAGATTTCACATTCCTACCATACTAGATCTATATCTACCCAAAGAAAATTATTTTTAAAAACTCCAAGTAGTAGGCCTATACATCTCTAGTTCAGAATAGATCCATAAAGATCTGGTGCCTTCTCTGCTCAGAGAAATTATATAACAGCGTAAAGCTCATAGAGGAACAAATGGAAATCTATCTGTTCCATGCTATCAGTTACAATTTTAAATTAACCAGACCAATATATTTTATAAAACCTACATAGACCATTAACACACCTTGGCCTAATGGTAATCTTTGCTAATTGCTAAACGTTGGTTTAGGCCTATAGGATAATCATATAGGTTTAATAATATGGTCCTTCCACTTTTTTAAATTTAATAGGCCTACACCTATTGCTTTTATAGTTTTTATGAAAATTTTGGTTAGTTTAATCATGGCTTTCACAAAAGCCATAGACCTGAAAGTCTTTTAAGTCAGACCTCTTTCATGACTTAAGCATGCAGAACATCAGCCCTGACTTGTGTTAAGGAATATACAGGTGGCTGGGCATATACCCCCTTATAAGTTATATGGCGAGGTTAAGAAATATGAAGTCCCTCGGTCTTAGTGTATTAAGGTCTGCAAGGGGAACTTGACATAGAATCATAAGGTTTTCTCTATTATACTCTTGTTCTTTACTATGGTTGCTCAAACATAACACACTATATAGGCCTATTAGGTACAATTTTAATATTGTTTACTTGTCTCTAGAGAGTCACAGCATACAGGCCTAGTGATGATGAGGAGAGAGACCCAGAGGAAGACTGTTTGCAGGATCCAGATATGGTCATCAAACACCCGTTACAAAACTCATGGGCTATGTGGTTTTTCAAAAATGATAAAGGCAGAGACTGGAAAGACAACCTACGGGTCATAACCACATTTGACACAGTTGAAGATTTTTGGGGGTAATTTTCTTTAAAAAGATTTTAAGTATCATTCTTTAGTTGTATGTCCCAGGCATTATTTAGTTTTAAAAATATAATTATATAAATAATAATTATAACTCAGAGTAAAGTCTAAAAGTAAAAAAAAATGGCAGATAATTTCCTGTCTTTACCATGGTGATGGTGGCCATTTTGGATTTTAATTACCTTTTTAACATCACAATAACTTAAAGATGGCTTATGCAAATTCAATAAAATCTTAAGGATTATAGAGAAACGTGTTGGTAATATTTCTGATGAAAAATTTTTAAAAACTTTTTTACAATTTTTTTTCCTGAACATCACTTTAAAAAAATCAAAATTAGTGCAAAAAATTCACCATTTTCAACTGTAAAAGAGAAATCCATACACATTTTCCAAAACTTGTTCTATTAATTTTATTGGTATCAGTAAACAGAATCATGAGAGAAATTTTTGCTCAATTTTAATAATAATTAAGAAAATTATTTCAATGTTAAAATGATAAAACAAATAATCATGGCAATGACAGGAAATTTTTGGCCATTTTTAAATATTTAGACTTTGAGTTAAAATTATATGCTAAATATGATAGTACTAGGTTTAGAAGTAAGATTTAGAAGTGGATCAGTATTTGTATCAATCTAAATCTTTTTAGATGTACATGTTTTCACATATCTTCCTTACAAGTTTTGTAATGCTAAAACTACAACTTTATTTTTAGTTTGTACAACCATACACTCCCGGCTAGTAAACTTCCAACTGGATGTGATTACAGTGTTTTCAAGGTAAACCTTCATTTCAAATTCCTTAAGACATTTATTTGTAATATTTATTCTTTTAGTAATGAAGCATTTTGTATTTATGGCATTGTTTTATTCTTTTTTTTTTATTTCCTTTTTATTAGGCTGGTATTCAACCTATGTGGGAAGATGTTCAGAATAAAAAAGGAGGAAGATGGCTTATAAATTTAAACAAAACACAACGACAGACTCATTTAGATGACTTTTGGTTAGAAACTGTAAGTTAGCTGCTTGTATTTAAGCTTATTCATTTGTTAAAGGTAAACAAGATGACTATTGAGTTGTCATTTATTACTTGTGGCTTTTCTGTTCCAGCTTCTTTGCTTGATTGGTGAAGGGTTTGATGAACATTCAGATGATATCTGTGGAGCAACTGTCAATATTAGAACTAAGGGAGACAAACTGGGTCTTTGGACAAGAGATGCATCAAAAACAGAGGCAACCAAGAAAATTGGGTAAGAAATTGTATAGTGTAAACATTGCAAGTCATTTTTTTTTTTTTTTAAATATTTTTAAAAACATATCTCTAGTTTTAACCAGATGTTTCTTTGACCCTTAGCCAGTAACATCTAGCCAGGTTTTTTTTGTTTTACAGACAAAAGTTAAAAGAATCGCTAAATGTGCCGTCAAAAATAGTCATTGGATTCCAGGTTAGTTTCTTTCTTTACTGAATTTGAATGTAACTTAAGTGCATTTTTTGTTGCCAAGCTAATTTTATGAGCAGTGTTATTGGATTAGTGAAACATTTCACAAGCAATATCATTTATATAAATCTGGAGCTATTAGAAATGGTCACTATCAGCACATAGGTCTACTGGATGACCTGAAAGTGTAAGGGTGATTATTACTGATATACCTCACAGCTATATTAAGTCTGTTATGAACTTTGACTTAGTTAACATCAGTCTGGTTATTTTTTAAATAGAGAAATGATTGCGATTTTATTTTCTGTATTTGTTTTATTTTTAAATTAACCGAGACATACTGTATAGAACTGGATAAGTTCTAAACCGTCGGTTTTGCAAGATTTAGATAATCTTTTAAAAGCTCTGCAATATGATCTTTTTGGCTAGTTTATGGTACCATTACATTTGATTGGTATGGTGGTACATTTAAAAAGTAACCATAGACCTAATGCTTCTCCAAATGAAAAACACCCTGGAAAATCTACTTCTAATTCAACATTTGCTCGGAAATTACCATTTATTTTTAAGTTATTAAATTTTACCATTAATTCTGTCTGTTAATTATAAAGGTCGTGAGTTTTAAAATAGCAAAGTTCCAAAAGCTGTAGTAACCCTGCAGCACAACCTTCTGATATATCAAATACAAATATTTTAAGTAACTTGCACAGAACTTAGTTCAGACTAATAACTACAATAAAAATTATTCAGCATTAACATCTTGCTAGATAGTAGTAAAATAGAAATAGTAGATAGTAGTTCTCCATAGTCAGTATCCATGAACATTTGTTTTAGACCCTTAATATATACCTGTGATTATCTCCAGCCATTTCCATTAAAAAGTATAGTTTTAGGGCTCTAGCTGTAATTTTTGTATGCCAAATCTTAAATTTCTTAACCATTAATGTCCCATTCATTCTACCAAAACTCCACCCATGACGGCCCAATGTAAGGAGAGTAACTCTGTATGATCAAGTGAATAGTTTCACAAAATATTTGTTTTTGTCTAAATGAAATTGAAAATTAAGATAAAAACTACTGCTTAATGTTGGGAATAAACCTGGCTTTCCAACAGTATTAAATAGAATATATTATATTCGGTTAAAGTACAGTATAAAAATAAAAAATGTCGGAGAAAATTCAAAACAGGTCATTTTCGGTAGTCAACTTTATTTATTTTTGTCTAAACAACTATGCATCGAATTTAACAGCTAAATATCAATTTGGTTATGTTTAACATATATAAATCATAAAATACATGCCTAGATACGTTTAGAGGCATTAATTTTTTTTATTTTTAATATTAAATCTACTAAAAATACGACAGATGAGTCGAAAATTTCGAGATAGAAAGAAACTATTATTTTTTATCTTTCAAAAGCGCCATTGAAATTAGAAGACCGGAAAAGGATGCTGAAACCATCCGACTTCCTGTTTAGTTAAAAATTAGGATTTGTAGGCCAAATTTTAATGAAACAAATTTAATTTTTCTATGCGTATTGTAAGCGGGCGTTACGGGACATTAACGGTGTCGGGCGGCAGCGGGCGTTACGGGACATTAATGGTTAAGGTCACCCAAAAATCCCCACTACACAACCTTTGTATACCACTGTTGGGGGGTTATGTTTGGCTGTAATGATTTTGTGTTGGCTACCATAGCTCACTTGTTAGATTTGCTGTTGGCCTTCCTGGTGTGTAGAAAAGACTGGTGTGCACATCAATATTTTGGCCTCTCTAATGTTCTAATTTCCCAGCTGCCTCAGTGATTGCTTAATTATTCTTTAGGGTGTTGAGCAACATTGTAGTTGGAAAAGTAATCAAAATAGCTTTTTATTTTTGTTTTCAATTTCAGGCACACTCAGACACAGCAGGCAAGGCAGGTTCAACTGTGAAGAATCGATTTACTGTATAACACAGGCTAATTTTTAGTGAATCAACTAATTAGCTAATGAGAGAAAAACTACTGTCTCTTTTTACATTTGTAAAAATATACCAGATGATGCATTATTTTTCTCTCATTGGCTCTTATGCATCATTTATTGATGACTCATTGCGACCTAAGCAGTTAGAACAGCCTGTGGTGTGTATATTATGTAATGTAACAGGCTGAAATGAGACATTGTTACAAATCATTTATTTATTAAATGCTTGCACATTTCATGCTTTTTAAATCCATTGATATTTTAACATTTTAAAATGAGAGGAATCACTTAAAAATTTGATTTTGGAAAGTTTTATTTTGTAATCATTAGTTACTATTTGTGTTTCTTTAAGTTTCAAGTTCTTCAGTGTGCATAATACACTTCCATCATTCAGAGTTATGGACAGTGCATTATTCAGTTTGGACATACATGTATATAACAACTATGAATAATTATAGTCCTACTTTTTTTTCCTTATCTGGTATCAGTTTTTATTTACTCAGTAGCATACACACTGGAAGATAGGTGTTTTTACTGTATTTACCTAAACATTGTACATAACTTTGTTGTCACTGAGGTACACAAGCAGTTTGTAAATGTGATCAGTGTGTGTGGTATGTATTTACTCATTGATATAATGCTGACAATACATGCTAGTTGATGAAAAGGGGCAGCTTGCATGCCTTCCTCTATTGTCCTATTATAAATTAGAATGTAAATACATGAAGTTTACTGAACCATTGACATGTGATTTTCTTTCATCTGCTGTTTGAGCTCCCAATAACCCATGATGTTGACCACCTTTAAGTTTAATCAAGTAAAGTATATTTTTGTTTATTAGGAACATGGCTATTACAATATGAGAACTTTTGGCATATATTTGTAATTTTCTTCTTACAAGTTAAAGATAATATAATAATCATTAGCCTTATGCTTAGTTTTGTCCCTTTCGTTTTATCTATTTTCTTGAGCACCAGATTTATTTTGAGTTCTTTTTGTTTAGTTTTTGATTGTGGAATTTGTACAAATGTTATAAATGCTGTCTGCTGATTAGAATGTTATTATTAAACATTAAAATGAATTTATTCACAATTTCTGTTAATATCACATCAAGTCTGTTTATTTGTATCAGTGAGTCTGTAGCTGTCTTACTGTTAAATTTCTCTGATAACCATCACCTGCTTTCAAGCAAACAAATACAACAACATAAAAAAGGGATAAAACAACCATCTTGACAGCCCATGCAGGTGTCACATAACTCTGCTGCATCTCTTTGTCCATGATCTCTGAAATAGGAAAAGGCTGTTTGCAGTTTTCCAATACAAGATTCTGCTGAGGTTTTAAAAAAAGTGCTTTATTATTATGCCTTTTTTTAAGAGAGATTACTTCCCACTGAAATGTCAACACACAATCATACAAACTGCAGCTATAATTTGTATAAAAAGTATCTTACTGTTTTTTTGGCTGCTGTAGTTTAACCTTATCGAAGTTCATGTCCGACTGAGTTTGTGTGCTTTCATATTCTGGATGTTGTGATACAGGGATGAGCATGCTGTTTTCTAAAGTATCTTTAGAAACTGGTGGTGGAACTGGGCTCTCCATGATTCTTTCTGTTTACAGTAAGAGATGCATGATGTATAGTATAACTAAAGTTGGGTCTATAATCAGTACCATGTTGTTAGGTTTAATTGCTAGGTGATAATCAAGATTGGTAATTTTAAATGACTGGTTGATAAAGATGCATCTTTTTCACTGTTAGGATTCCATTTCACAAAAACAAAGTTGGACCAGACGTAAGAGCAAATTTCAAATTTTCTTTTTTTAATTTGTTATAATTCTTGGAAAAAAACAGGAATGATTTTATTTGGAATGTGGCTTCTCACAATTTCCAGCGCTATAACAATTCCTATAGTCAAATTTCTGTATATATTCTGCCATATTATCCTATGCTACATTTCTACATTAAAAGTGGATACATACTTCTGCTGAAGGAAGGTGATGAACAGCACAGCCAGTCTTCAGCTAGTTGTTACTACATTACATGAGAGTCTAATGAGTATGTGAAGCCTCTGCACCATTCATAGTCTAAAAGCTTCAGTCTTATTTCATTCAGAAGTTTCAGGATGAGTCTTAAATGGTTTACAATAGCTGAGCACTGATTAGAAAAACAGTTTTAATAGAAATATTAATAAATTTGGTTTTTGAGAATAAATAAATTGGAAAAATACTCTAAAAGAGAATTGAACATGCTTATAATTTGATGGTATAACCAGGATTTCTATGTATAAATATAAACAAATGTCTATTAAGGGGGGAGTGTTATATTGCGCTGTCATAATTGAACTGTAATCCATGGCTAGTTCTTTTGTCTGCTCTGACAAAATCTGTAATCGATGGCTAGTTCTTTTGTCTGCACTGACAAAATCTGTTCATAAATCATGAGTTGGGTTTTGTTGACCTCTTTATTGACTTAAGTTTTATACTGACTTAGACTTAGTGTTCCTTCCACTTTTTTCTCAGGGGGGGGGGTAGACTGCCTCAGAGGCGTAGCGACCCTTCCCGGCGCCCAGGGACAAACTTTCAATTTGGCGCCCCCCTCGGGAACAAATTTTCAATTTGCACCCCCCCCCCCTCAAAATTTTCAATTTGCATACTCCAAAAATGCAGCTAAAATGACATTTTAATTTTTTTTTACAACCCATTTTGCCGGGGACATATGTCCCCCCCCCCCCCCCCCCCCCCATCGCTACGCCTCTGGACTGCCTGGAAGGAACTCTGCTGACTTACACTCAATATCAATACTCTGTCTTAGTACCTTACACAATTTAATACTCCTAGACTCTAGATCTAGATATAATGAATAGTAGTTCTATTATTTTATTTAATATTAAGTAGTTAGTAATGTATAGTAGTAATGTAATACTATATAGATCTAGTATATACTACTAGTATAACTAGTATTAGTATAGATCTAGTAAGTGAACTAAATAATACTATAGTATAGAGTAGACTTACAGAGTTAACTATAGCCAGACCATAAGGCCTAGTCCTAGTAGTTAGTAGTTAGTTACTAAATGTTACTAATAAATATTAAATAATTAAATATAGTACTTTAATACTATTTAATAGAGTTAATTTTAACTTAATACATTAAATACTAAAAAATAGTATATTATAGACTTTTATAGACTCAATAAAAGGGCTAAGGTTAAGGATGGTTCCTTTTACAGTAAATAATGTATATCTCTAAGTCAGAGTGAAATCGGAACATTCTCACAGCATTTCAAAAACATGCTACTTGTAGTTGTAAAGATTAGATCTAGATATAATCTTGATCTAATTCCAACTTTTTGTCTACTTCTTTATTTGGTGTTAACAAACTATCCGAAGTCTCTTTAGCCTGAAGTTTAAAAAGAGAAATTTGGGAATTCCCACAAATGCCTAGATATTTTATTTTCGTCTAGAACTAGGCTCCCGTGGTTATTTTAATTTTAAAGTAACGTTTGAAATTAAATTTTATGTTTGATTTTGCATTTTAATTACTCTTTTTTGTTTAAATACTAATTTTAAACATCCCACCTGAATCACTGTTAGAAAATAGTTGTATGCATTCAATACTGTTCACTAAAGAGTAGTATGGAGACGGATCCAGGCCCTAAAAATAAGAAATTAAAAAAAAAAACCCATGGTTTGCGCAGAAATCTAGGGATTTTATACACGAATCATTAAAAAAATTAAGAGGTTGATGGTCAGTTACCAATGTGATTGGCCCAGGGGCGTAGCGGGCGAGGGGGGGGGGGGAGTACATATGTCCCCGGTCGACGACCTTAGGGGGTGCCAAAATGGGTTGTAAAAACAAATTAAAATCTCATTTTAGCTGCATTTTTGCATTATAAATATAAAAAAAAATATGGGGGTGCAAATTGGAAGTTTGAGGGGGGTAGGGGGGGGGGGGTGCAAATCGAAAGTTTGAGGGAGGGTGCAAATTGAAAATTTAAAGGTTGCTCCCGAGGGGGGCGCCAAATTGAAAGTTTGTCTCCGGGCGCCGGGAAGGGTCGCTACGCCTCTGGATTGGCCCTTTCAAGAACTTAATAAACATCATCAAAGGGAAATATGTAAGATGCTACGGACATGAGATCCAATGGCCCATCAAAGACAATCAAGCGGCACGATGCCAGGAGCGAGAAGGCGATCGAAGCAAAGAAGATAACGGTCGCAGGACATTAAATAAGGCAATGGCTGGAATGTCCATTGCAGGATTACTACATCTGTATAAGCAGCGGTGGCCGGAAAGAACCGCAACGGAAAAAAGCGCAACGGAAAAAAGCGCAAAACAAAAAGCGCAACGGAAAAAAGCGCACACGGAAAAAAGCGCAAAGAGAAAAAAGCGCACACAGAAAAAAGCGCAAAGAGAAAAAAGCGCAAACAGAAAAAAGCGCAAAGAGAAAAAAGCGCACACAGAAAAAAGCGCAAACAGAAAAAAGCGCAAACGGAAAAAAGCGCAAAGAGAAAAAAGCGCACACGGAAAAAAGCGCAAAGAGAAAAAAGCGCACACAGAAAAAAGCGCAAAGAGAAAAAAGCGCACACAGAAAAAAGCGCAAAGAGAAAAAAGCGCAAACGGAAAAAAGCGCAAAGAGAAAAAAGCGCACACGGAAAAAAGCGCAAACGGAAAAAAGCGCAAACGGAAAAAAGCGCAAACAGAAAAAAGCGCAAACGGAAAAAAGCGCAAAGAGAAAAAAGCGCACACAGAAAAAAGCGCAAACAGAAAAAAGCGCAAACGGAAAAAAGCGCAAACAGAAAAAAGCGCAAACGGAAAAAAGCGCACACAGAAAAAAGCGCAAACGGAAAAAAACGCAAACTGAAAAAAGCGCAACGACAAAAAGCGCAACGGAAAAAAGCGCAAAAAAAACGCAAACAGAAAAAAGCACACACAGAAAACTGTGCACACCAAAAAATGCACAAAGAGCCATTTTCGCACAAAGACCTATGAGGACTAGATGACACATTTATACATGATTGTTAGGGCTGCTGTGAGAGTGTTGTGTTTGACCTGACGCGATATACTACCACTTAAAGCATACCACTATCATGTGCATTCCCATCACGACGATACAGGCGATAATCGCTTGACACAACGTCTATTTTTTTTCTTGTTCACTATTTATTCAACGACTATTCTCGAATAAATAAACATAAAACTATCCTTGATATTGGCATTACACGGAGTATCTCGTACATGCTCCCTAGTCCCAAGCTTGCATTCTATAACAACCCGTTTCTATCGCAAAACTTCACTCTCTTTCTTCCGAGTCATCAAACATGCATTCGCTATATCTCTCGCACCAACATTCATTCGCACAAAAATACCCTGATAAAACACACATCATAATCATAACATTTTTATAACATTTAAGCAGAGAGTGAATATTATTTGTGAATACTAAAAACACTAACTCTGTAGACTACACTAAGTATATAGTAAGAAAAGTAGGTCATGTATGATGTGTATATACTAGGCCTCACCAAAAAGAGAATGGAAAAACAGCCGTGTATTCTAAAAGAATTGTAACACAAACATTGGAATGAAAGCGTTTTCTTCTGTCAGTATGAACACTAAACATGTATTCAAATCTGGCGCGCGGAAAAAGAAAAGTATGGGCGACGGTCGTTAGCTTCGTAAACTGCACGATATATCTTTTGACATATGTTACATCTTTTGCGACAGCCTTAATTAGTGCGTTGGGCTTGTATGAAAACTCACTTCGAACTAAATCAATTACATGCTACTTATTTTAACATGACAAGGTAAGCGTCACCCAACTGTTGTGATGTGAGGTGAGGACAGGGTCAACAATTAACCAACACGAAGTCTGTATACAATTAACGTCTTTATTGTTTGAAAGTACGAACGAGACATAGACTGCCTATTAGAGAATGGACCCCCAAACTTTCCTAACCTCACCTTTTATTCCCTACCTAACCTCTAAGTTTTCTGCACTTTATGTCACTTCCATACCAATCATTTCTATGCTACATAAGACGTTTGTACTATTTATTTACATTCTTTAATCTCAATATAACTAAAAAAGACTATAGTTTGAAGGGTAATGAAAACATGTAAACAAATAGGACGCTACTCTAAATCTACGCAAATACTTATATGTAACAATCCTAACACCAATCAAAGCATGTGTTGAACAGCATAATGGACAAAGAGAGATGTAGTTTTATTATAACACCAGGCTTTGACTCGGACCTACTTCAATGGTGTCTACATTGTTAAACTGATTAACTATTTGATGTAGTGCTCTATTGGCTCAGTAGGAAATGTGCATAATCTAAAAATATAAATTCCATTTCGTTCGGGGGGAAGGGGGGTGGGGGTAGACGGTAGACTCTCTTAGGGACGAGACCCCCCCCCCCAACCCCGAACTGATGTCTGGATAAAACTCTCTTCTACGCAAACACCCAACCACCCAATTACCCACACACACATCTTCCCACACACCACCAAAAAATCTACCTACCCACGAACCCACCAACTAACCCACCTACCTACCCGTATATATATATATATATATATATATATATATATATATATATATATATATATATATATATATATATATATATATGTTGGGTAGGTAAGTAGGTAGGTAGGTAGGTAGGTAGGTAGGTAGGTAGGTAGGTAGGTAGGTAGGTAGGTAGGTAGGTAAGTAGGTAGGTAGGTAGGTAGATATAGGTACATCATGATGAAATAATTTTAAATACATAATGATTATGATGTGTGTTTTATCAGGGTATTTTTGTGCGAATGAATGTTGGTGCGAGAGATATAGCGAATGCATGTTTGATGACTCGGAAGAAAGAGAGTGAAGTTTTGCGATAGAAACGGGTTGTTATAGAATGCAAGCTTGGGACTAGGGAGCATGTACGAGATACTCCGTGTAATGCCAATATCAAGGATAGTTTTATGTTTATTTATTCGAGAATAGTCGTTGAATAAATAGTGAACAAGAAAAAAAATAGACGTTGTGTCAAGCGATTATCGCCTGTATCGTCGTGATGGGAATGCACATGATAGTGGTATGCTTTAAGTGGTAGTATATCGCGTCAGGTCAAACACAACACTCTCACAGCAGCCCTAACAATCATGTATAAATGTGTCATCTAGTCCTCATAGGTCTTTGTGCGAAAATGGCTCTTTGTGCATTTTTTGGTGTGCACAGTTTTCTGTGTGTGCTTTTTTCTGTTTGCGTTTTTTTTGCGCTTTTTTCCGTTGCGCTTTTTGTCGTTGCGCTTTTTTCAGTTTGCGTTGACGAGTAAACTATTTTGCTAGAATAAAGTATGCGGGCTACAATATTACAAATTATAAAGTACAATTTGAAAATGATTTTAAGAAACTGGAGGGAAATCAAGACGGTATACATACGTGAGATTGCCTGTTATGGCAAAGGATGTACTTCTGGTTCGGTAAATTTCAAATCCAGTGTCAACATCACTGTAGTTTAGATAAGTGTGGTCGTCACTTGTTTGGTGAAAATTTTCAACAAAAAGAACAACGCATCCGGGAAGTGATGACTTGGATGTCACAAGATGGTGTTCCGTTTTAACGTGTATGTGTGTGTGTGAGAGACCGGATAGTCAGGAAAAGCGTTTCACAAACACACGCGCAAGTACATTTACATACTCTCAAAGAAATCACACACACAAACACACACACACACACACATATATATATATATATATATATATATATATATATATATATATATATATATATATATATATATATATTTATATATAAATTATGGACATGAACGCGCATGTTCAAGGCTACATGGGCAACATTTATTTGTTAATTAACGACCTCTTGGTACCATATAGCCTACTGAAACAACAACACTGGCAACGAAGAACTATTGCAGCGAACAAAATGGGTACTGAACATGAAATCGCCCAAAGCAAATACGATGGACTATCCATAGATTTAGTAAACCAACGAGCAGTATATTAAGGGAGGCTATTATACTCGGGGGACAAAATAAGATGCTGAAAACACAAAGCAGTACCGGCGGGGGTGGAGGGGGGGGGGGGTGAATTAGAATAAGACCGCTGTAGAAGCTCTGGGTAAAGTTGACTGCTAAAGTCGGGTTAAAGGCCAAGGTTCAGGTACAATGACAGGCTACCTCTTGCTTAGAGCTACTCACCCTAACAGCATGCTACCTCTAGATTATAGTTTCTCACGGAAACAACAGGCTACCTCTAGATTACAGTTTCAAACTCTAGCCACACGTTATCTTTTGCTTAGTTTCTAACAATAACATTAGGCTACCTCTTACTTACTCCAGTTTCTCACACTAACACCAGGCTACCTCTTGCTTACCCCACCGCTTCTCACGCTAACGACAGGCTACCTAAAACTAACGCCCACAACGCCATTATCACACGACTGTTTTAGCAATGACAGTGTTATCAGCTTCGGTATCTCACATCTAGATTAGGTCATAGCACCACACACACACAATCAATGATAAAACACAATACCTACTGCAGATAGGAGTGTTTAGTATTTGTGATTTAAATACACATACACGCAAACATACACACACGCACACATTGTAAAGTGGAGAGAGTAACATAACTACACACTTGAAGTAGACTTTAATTTCTCCTGTTTTTCGTTTGTTTTAATTGTTTTGATTACTTATTTCGTCACACTGTCCAGGTAATGTTAATTTTGTGTGTATGTGTGTGTGTAAACGTGAGTTTTAACAATATTTAGTTTGTATTGCAGTGAATTAAATAATGAATAATGATTATTCTGTTCAATTTGAAATAGATAAAAATTATAGAAGCGGTGATAAAAAAAATAAATTGCAGGTTCTTTTTTAATCTATGTCATGAAAGATTAAATTACTAGAATAAAGAGGATAGCATTGCTTGTCTTTTAATGAAGACCTTTGGTCGAAACGGCTGCATTATCCAATGCTTTGAGTAGTATTATAAGACGGCAAGACCGGGCAATAGACTGTAAGAATTATAGCGCCAAAGTCTCTGAGTCCACCCAGCTCTGATGGGTTCCCGACTATCGTTAGGAAAAGTAAAGGCGGCTCCATTCCGGTCAGTGGGTTCGAGTCTGACGCCTGCCTCGCGATGTTTTTGTCTTGTCTACTCAGGGCATGCCCTATCCATCCCCAATAGCGGGATAAAGTAAAGTTCCCCTTCCAAACATGACGGTCTATGGGGCAAGTGAAGTAGAGTTCATCTGTTTCTTTGATCTCGGCTTATGAAGGGATAGTGGTCAGCACTTTGCACAGCCGCCTTTACTTTCCCTAACTTTTCCCTTGCTTGACTCATCAATAGTGAGACAAGTAAAACAATTTGTCAACAGTTAACCTCTTCCAGTTTCTGTAGGCCTGGCTATTTAAAATGTCTGACACATACTACATAGGCCTACTGCTAACACATACATGTAACATAGTTTACCCACATCCATTAGACATCCGCGTATCCCTTCCCAAAACTATGATACTATTTAGTACTTTAAAATGTGATCTGTTAAACAAAGTATGCAGATTGATCACATTTATAGAATATAATTTAATTTGATTTGATTAAAAATAATACATGAAGCAAATTTATTGTTTAACCATTTCCTTTATCGTTTGTTTAATTTAGGAGTTTTCTCCCCTAGAAGGGTTGCTGTTCTTGAAATTGATAAACTAATTATACATTTTTTAGCGCAATTTCCATACGGACAATTGCGATTATTAACTCGTCAAGGATGGATGTGTGTCCGATGTGTGTCCGCAGCTTTAAGTCGTATCTCCTCCTCAACGAAGCAATATCGAGGACTAGTTCCAAAAGCAAATATGTTAAGCAAGTTCCGAGGATGATTGTGGGCCAAAAAAATTCCCGGAATTCCTTCCTGGATTTCCCGGAAAAGCCAAAAAACCTCGAAAAAAAATGCCGTTTTTGGCCCATATCTCGGCAACCAGACCACTTAGCGACTTGAAACATTTACCAATCGATTCCTACCATAATTTAGAACAATATTGCCGAAGAAAGTTTTCAAAAATATCCTTTCGTTCGGCCACAAAAAATTAATTAAGGAAATTGCGCTTAAATTGTCACTAGACTTTTTATTAACGCGTTTTAACAATGCCAGACGTTTTGTTCTCTAGGTCAGGTGGGACATGAGTGGCCAATCTCAGTACCCAGGAGGGACGTTCCAGCCAGGCCCACAGACCTACCCCACAGCCCCCAGCTACCAGGTGTACTACCAGCAGCCTGAGACCAAAGTGTGAGTAGGGGTGGGGCGAGATCAATTTTTTACTGCTCGCCTCGCTAGTGTAAGGCAGGCTGTCACGTATATTGCTAGAGTCGCTAGTGTAAGGCGGGCTGTCACGTATATTGCTAGAGTCGCTAGTGTAAGGCAGGCTGTCACGTATATTGTCGCTAGTGTAAGGCAGGCTGTCATGTATATTGTCGCTAGTGTAAGGCAGGCTGTCACGTATATTGTCGCTAGTGTAAGGCAGGCTGTCACGTATATTGTCGCTAGTGTAAGGCAGGCTGTCACGTATATTGTTAGAGTCGCTAGTCTAAGGCAGGCTGTCACGTATATTGCTAGAGTCGCTAGTGTAAGGCGGGCTGTCACGTATATTGCTAGAGTCGCTAGTCTAAGGCAGGCTGTCACGTATATTGCTAGAGTCGCTAGTGTAAGGCAGGCTGTCACGTATATTGTCGCTAGTGTAAGGCAGGCTGTCACGTATATTGTCGCTAGTGTAAGGCAGGCTGTCATGTATATTGTCGCTAGTGTAAGGCAGGCTGTCACGTATATTGTCGCTAGTGTAAGGCAGGCTGTCACGTATATTGTCGCTAGTGTAAGGCAGGCTGTCACGTATATTGTCGCTAGTGTAAGTCAGGCTGTCATGTATATTGTTAGAGTCGCTAATCTGGGTTTCTTTCAGACATTTTTTTTCTACGGTGGGGGCGGGGAAATGAGCACTTAAAATAATCTGGGAGTGGGGGGGGGGGGGGCTGGTTAAAGTAAAGCTTTTGTATAAAATTATTTATTTGTTCAAGTAAGTACCGGGGTAGGGGACGATTCCCCTCCAACCCCTTCCCCCCCCCCCCCGCCACCTGATGAGAAGCGTGAAAAAACCTCGCTAATGTTGGCAGCTACGGTACCAAAGTGTGTTCCCATAGAAATGAGCAATCTTTGGTGCTAGTCTATGTAGGGGGGGGGGGGGGGGTTTCAGGCTGGGATGGGCCCATTCGTACTAGTAACGTTCAGTCATCTAGGTAGTGGTGTAGAGGGAGGGGGGAGGGTTGCGGACTGGGCGCTGGGGGCAGACCCCATTCTTCCGAGTTAACTTACGATCTGCCAACTAGGATGTGGTGTAGTGGTGGGGGGGTGCTGGGGGGGGGGGGGGGAGGAGCCAGTACATTCAACTAAGGACTGGCGAATAGTTTAATTTTAGAAAAGCTTACAGACTGAAGTCACAAGACAAGGTGACTCAGAGATTAACGTACGTTTTGTGGACAAATACAACTCGTGCCCGCGTAGAACTACGTAAACTATCGTCATGTCATGGACAAGTCCAAATAGCCACGCCTAAGGGTGGTGACTCTGGGAAAAAAACAAAATTATATTTGACACGGATGAATTAATTGTCTAACGTTTTGTTAAATGACTTCAATGCAGAACAACACAGTTTAGTATTTTCCCCAAATATCCGGGCAGGTATTTTCATAGAGAGGAGCTAAACATAAAATAATAGATAAGAATTTAAGAATGTGTGAATATTGTCATTTATATACATTATATATATATATATATAAATATATATATATATATATATATATATATATATATATATATATATATATATATATATATATATATATATATATATATATATATATATATATAAATATATATATATATATATAATACATACAAAATAATACATAATATACATATTACATTGATACATATATATCTATACATAATACAGAGGCGTAGCGACGGGGGGGGGGGGGAAGAGGTGGGGATTATATATATATCCACATTCGCCGACCCTAGGGGCGCCAAAATAAGCTCATTTTAGCTGCTATTTTTAATTATAAATATAAAAAATATATGGGGGGGGGCGCCAAATTGAAAGTTTGTCCCCGGGAGCCGGGAGGGGTCGCCACGCCTCTGACATTATATATATATATATATATATATATATATATATATATATATATATATATATATATATATATATATATATATATATATATATATATATATATACATACATATATGTGTGTATAAGTAATTAAAAATACATACATATATATATATATATATATATATATATATATATATATATATATATATATATATATATATATATATATATATATATATAGGTTTATGTATTTATACAAATATATATAACCATGTATATGTGAGTGTGTATTTGAGTGTTTAAATAACGACACAACGATGACATTAATGGGACATAACAACCTTCTCTGTTCCAGTCTACTGGTCGAGCGAGACAGATCGGAGGACGATGCCGTCTGCTGCTGTCTTGGCTGTCTTATCGTCTGCTGTTCCATCATCTTCTGCAGCGGTCGTAATTAAATATTTTACACCATCAACAGCCGCCCAAACCACTTGACCGCGTCTCAAATGTACATGTTCTTTGTCATATGTATATGTCATGAATTCTTTTCATTGTAAAAAAAAAACAACATTACACATTTTTTTCAAGCGTTTAGTTTCGGTTTGTTTAATTTCTTTTAAAATCATAAAGCCTTGTTTTCAAATTGTTTCGTTTATTAAAAAGTAGACTATCGGTTGTTGTGCGTGAATCACGTTAGGCCAGTGGCGTAGCTACCGTAAATATAGCGTAAGCTAGGCATAGGGGCCCAAGGCAAATAAGGGCCCTTTTTCGAAAGTTTGAGGGGGGGTTCAAACCCTAAGTTTGTGCCTGGTCGCCGGGAAGGGTCGCTACGCCTCTGAGGGGCCCACTAACACTTTTTGCAAAGGGGCCCAAAAATCCTTTCTACGCCACTGCGTTAGGCACACTTGTTTATGATATCGCAAGTTATATCTCTAGATGTCTATGACAATTATTAATTTGGATTGGATCTACGTTAATTATTAATTTGGATTGAATCAATGTTAATTATTAATTTAGACTGGATCCATGTTAATTATTAATTTGGATTGGATCTACGTTAATTATTAATTTGGTTTGGTATATGTATGCGTGAGTCAAAGACAGTATTTAAATCATTAAGTTCAGGATTCTAATGGGGTTAGGGTTAGGCTTAATGCTGAAGAATGGGACGGCGCGGTTGAGGGCAAGAGCGCATCATTACTAACCTGAAGGTGTCGCTTTATCGAGCTAGATTCAGCAGAATATCCCTGAGCCTACTCAGCTCTAATGGGTACTTGAGTAGGGAAAAATCAAGGCGACTGAACACATTGTTGAATAAACTTTCATATATACCGGGATACAAGAAGCAGATAAACTCTATTTCGTCCTCATAATGTACTGACAGGTCTAGCATACTGCCAGTAACATTTATTCTATGTGTTTTTTATGTAAGAAAACGTTTCTATAAAAAATATACATATATCGGGAATGACTTAGTCTGACGACACATACAAACATACATATATGTGTCGTGGGAGCCTAGCGTCAAAACACGCATCTGTAAGGCCAAGCAAGCCTTTTGCAGACAATCAAAAACATGGCGCTCGGAGAAAATCTCCACTGCAGACTTTACAACAGTAAAGCTCTTATCGTCTTATTCTGAGGCATCTCCATTGACAGGTTGCTAGAAAAAAATGGAAACCGGTTTTAAAAGGACAGGCCACATACTAAGGATGGGGCTAGATGATAAGACAGTAATGGCACTGAATTGGACGTGGCAAAGAAGACAGAGAAGGCCAAGGGATATATATATATATATATATATATATATATATATATGGTCGACCCTCGAGAGGTTGGTAAATTGTACAATTGTACGTTAGGTCACGTACGACAGCAGCATAACACAAAATAACATAAATATGAAGATTTAAAAGTATTTAAGTGTAAATTTTTATTTATAAATGGCCTAATACACATGGCTCTCTCTTGGTATATATTATTTTGTAAAGACATTCTAATTACAATTAAATAGATTCATTATAAAAACAAGCTGCATAAGTAGAAAGATATGAAAACCATATTTCAGTCACTATATATATATATATATATATATATATATATATATATATATATATATATATATATATATATATATATATATATATATATATATATATATACATATAAAATTATGTATGACATTCTTATAGCTTTTCCGTAGAAAGCAGGTACATCGAAACAATCTAGCCAAAGCTATTTTTAAATAAATTTACCTGTCCCATCGAATGACTTGTAGCGTGAACACCCAAAATGGCAACACTACCAAAACTACTGCCCAACACTACATAAGGAGGATAGCAAGTTTTAAGACATTAGCAATTCAAAAAGAAATAAGAAATTTGAAATTATAAACATTTAAAAAATGACGCTTAACATTTCACATTATGTTAAAACAACAGAAATATGACAAGTAACAACACACAATTTCTAGGAAGACAATATTTATGTTTGAAGAAATCATCTTACTCTTGTATGATTTTATGTCAATAATATTTGTTGTGAATATTTGTTGAATTGAAATCTGCATCCGTTTATATATATATATATATATATATATATATATATATATATATATATATATATATATATATATATATATATATATATATATATATATATATATAATAAAATAAATTAACTGAGACAAAGACCCATCAGATTTTACACTTCACTCTATTTCCAACACATATTCACACGGTTTTTAAAAAAAGTCTTTATCTTTACGAAATAGTCGCACTATTTAGTTTTTACCCAAAATCCCTTTATCCGTAACACATTGTCACACTACCCAATGCCTTTCATCTGTAACAATCTGTCACACCATCGTAATGCCTTTCATCTATAACAAATTGTCACACTGCCCCTACGCATTTCATCTGTAATACATTGTCACACTACCCCTACGCATTTCATCTGTAATACATTGTCACACTACCCCTACGCATTTCATCTGTAATACATTGTCACACTACCCCTACGCATTTCATCTGTAAAAAATTGTCACACTACCCAATGCCCTAACCTGGAAAAAAACTGACATACCACCTCGGGGCCCCCCTCCATATATAGGTCACAACTTGTCCCTCTTTGGCATACTCTCCCACCTCTTCTTATATACTGAATCATATTTATTTATAACGTCACTTTTAAGTTCACATAACGTCTGGTGGTGGTGGTGGGTTGTCATTCATAAATGACGTCATGCCTTTTCCATCAATTTTTACCCCCTCCCCCCTTCAACCCTAAGCATTGTTATAAAAAGCCAGAACCCCCACCACTCAAATGATGTCACAATTCAGCCTACAACTCCCCCTCTAAAAAAATTTTGAACATAAATTTCTTTCCGGTGATCATAGAGTATATTAATACTATTCGATTATAATTTACAATAGATGTTTTCTAAAACGCCAAAGAACTGCCAATATTCGTTTCTTACATTACTTTTTTTAAAATGCAAAAGCGTGACGGCACACTATCTGAACCTTCACTACCCAACATCACACGTCGCCACAAAATTACGAACCCCCCTTTCTCCCCTATGAGTATGACGTCATGTAGTGACGTCCCATAATTTCATTTTCCTCACAACATTAGCTTTATGATAATTTTTAGTAAATTTAAAAGTGTATATTTCAAAAGCTTCAAAACCACTATTTTTAGAACATTTCTTTTTAAAGACCCCCCCCCCCCCCTCCCACCACCATCACCCCTCCAAAGCAGTGTTTCTTTCAGGCATATTTACAGGTGAGGAACGACTCTCCCCCCCCCCCAACCCCAAGGGGCACGACCACCCTCCCTTCACCCTGACGAAATAGAAAAAAAATAGAATATATTACTTTAACCACTGCCCACCCACCCCCTCCCTGCCCAGGAAGTTTAAAGAGCCCCCTAGCCCCGCCGGAAAAAAACGTCTGAAAAAAAAAACCTTGCCTCAAAGAACTCGCCTATAAGAAAAACGACAGTATCCTAAACGGGAAATCCCACAACCAACACGGAAATGTCACCATGCTAACTGTACGTAACCACTGTAGCTGCTTGGTTAGCATGGCACGATTTTCTTTATAATTTCTTACAACTGCTCTGATGCTGGGTACAACATGCTGTCTTTTACGGTGTAGGGTTACATTTGTATACCTAAATCTATTTAGTGGTTACTCCCCAATACTAGACACCAACTTATTTTTTCCGGAGCTGGCGGTAAAAATAAACCACATTTTTGGAACTCCACATCACATCGGGAGTTTTTTCTATGACCACCGGCACGTGTTATGGCTGACATTCGTTGTGTAATCAGGGGGAAAACACGGCTCTATTTTAGGCAGTAAGACAAAGGGTTGGATCACGTGACACACATGAAAAATGTGTAGCGGAAAAACTGCTGACACAGGCAGTATTGACGTGTAAGGTCCGCTACTATTCCACGATATCACAGGGTGGATTTCCCTATAGGAAACTTAATCCCTAGTCTAGTGCTAAGGTGGTTACAATCATAAATACCTTTAAAAAACGATCTACATAAATCGGTTCATATCAACATTTCTGAGCTTTTGAAATGGTGTGTTATAGGGGTTGAGGGGGGCGGGGGTTTAGATGCGTGTGGGCGGAGAACTAACTATTTTCCTAGCTTCCCTTTACTGTGTAGTTATAGTTTGCACTCTTTGTGGATAGGTCAAATTATTCCATTATTCTTTAACTTTGGTGCTCTTTGTAAACTTATAAACACAAGAATTCTACAGATGGGATGCGCTATTTAAACTTATAAACACAAGAATTCTATCGATTGGATGAGCTATGTAAACTTATAAACACAAGATTTCTTTAGCTTAGCACCACTTGGTACACTTATAAACACAAGATTTTCTATTACAAAAAAGCTACATCGATTTCTCCACCGAGTTTTTACTGTCGATTGAACTACCATCCGATATCAGCGGGGGTTTGACCTCTGGGTCTATGAACCGCATCCGGTCAAACCCCGCCCTGACGTGCCTGACCACCACCTGTACTGGCACCACTCGCAGAGGATGGTCGTCATTTTTCAAGATCTCGTGACCAAAGGTCAAGATGAAATGATCTTTCGGCACCGGATTCCGGGGGTCGCGTTTGTGCGCTTCCAGCTCTTTCTGGAACTTTTCCCGGTAGTCGAAAACTTTGGCGTTAACAGGCGGGCGATTTTTTTTAGTCCGGGTTAACGGGGCGCTTTCTGCGACGCCGTCCGTGCAAAAAACGCGGGTCAGACACCGTCGTTCTGCGAAAATGTCGTCGTCTTTGTAGGTAAGAATGATCTCCCCTCCTTCCGTCTCGAACAAGGCTTCGTTGATGTACTTTTTCTGAGTGTCGTCAAACCCGGATAGCTCGTTGAAATCCGGCATTTGAATTTCGTGACGAGGGCCGACATTCTGTGAGGGCGAGTGTCGGCTGTTTGGGGAGCCGAAGAACAGCCGACAGCATTGGGTGGTGACGTAGGTGCTGTTGACGACTTTACTGGGAAGGCCGTAGAGAACTTGGACGTGCATGTAAGAAATTGTTTTCTGTGGCGGTTTGACTGGTTGCAGTTCTGGAAATTCTGCGGAAGGGATGGAATCTAAGCTACCGACATTCGAGACGGGTACTAAATTATCAGACTCTACAGACTTGAGGTCTAGGGGCAAGCTCCCGTCGTGGTTGAATATTGGTTCTATTGACATAGGTTTCTCCTCGGGAAAAGATTCCGCGACAACGTAGGGGATAGATTGAAAACTGTCATATCCTCTTTCGGGAATTCCGAAATAGTTTTCGGGATTTCCTTGGTTGAGAATCCCCGCTTCGGTTTTTAATGTTAGCCCGCGTAGGTCCCTAGGCAGCTCGTTAGTGTCTAGTTTGATCACAATTTGGTAATTATCCGAGACATCCATTTCATCAGAGCTCGTCTGTCTGTAGTAGAGTGTGCCCGCCCTCCCCTCATACTCTGGCACAATCTGCGCCCGTCCCCCCAACAAGACACCCCCAGCTGTCTCGCTAGGCTGGCAATGTCTCAGCACGCTCCCCGACATCAGCCGCTGTTCGACCACTTGCGTGTTGCCATGGTAACCCTGCTGGAGACCGCCGACCGGGTCTAAGGCCACCGGGGACTGACTCGTCCGCTCGGACCTGGGTCTGGACGGTGACGTGGGCAGGAACCTGTAGACTTTATAAGGACTCGAACCCTCCTTCTGGTGCAGCTCCTTCACCTCCTCTATCTCCCGATTCTTGTTGATGGCGGTTCTGATCCGGGTCTTCCACGTGGGGTAGTCGGGCGGGTCCCCCTCCTTGTACCGTCCGGTGTGTTTGGCCCACTCGGTGAGGATCTGACAGTCCTCCGGCTTCCAGTCCCGGCTCTTCTGGTGCGTCCACGGCAGTCGGAACAGCATCTCCGATTCGTTTTCCCACACCAGACCGGCGCACGTGCCGGACTTGACCATGACCTCCAGCCAACGTCTGAGATCCGGTCTCCTGGGTTCCCCCATGGTTCAGTGGTTCTTAGTTGCTGGTTTCTCAGGGAACTAAAACTATTAAAAAAATATACAAAAATCAGTGTTTGAAATACGACTGTTGTAAATAAATTAGTTCTTTTTTTTCAGACGTGCAGTATAAAAAAGTAGGCTACTTCAATAAAAAATTAATTTAGAAAAGTGTTTCTAAAAAATCATTAACATGATTTGTATGGGTAGATATTAAGTTAAATTATTCCAAACTTTAAGTAGATCAATTAAATTATAGAAAAGCAAAAAAAAAATAAATCACAAATATAACTTTAAGAAGTTAACGTTTAAGAATTTAACTTTTAAGAAGTTAAAAAAAAATTACTCAGAGAAGACAAACAGCTATAAGAAAACTGTTTAAAAAATTTCACAGGCACTCCCGTCACTTTTAATTATCGTAATTTTTTTTAATAGATGGGGTAGTAAGTAAGTGATTTATTTTTCAAACATTAAGAAGACAAAACCAACTACATAAATCTATTTATAAATAAACAGGGAGTGATCTCCCCTAAACTTTCTCGAATCTAGAAAACCTTGCGAGTACTTAGTTTTGCGAATACTCCACAATGTTTGCATGACATTAAATTACTCAGACTATTTAAAATAAGTCCCTAAGCACTCTACGTAAACCTAAGCGAAGCTAGGCAGAATGCCTAATATTCTTATAAACACTACGGGGAATGGCAACTAGGGATATATATATATATATATATATATATATATATATATATATATATATATATATATATATATATATATATATATATATATATATATATTAAGTTAATCCATTTTTAATTACGTAAACTTTTTAAAATAGAATAGAATCGCGTAGAAAAAAGAATTGCGCACTATGTGAACGCCAAACAAAATGTGTATAATAGTGCAGAATATTATTAGTACTTTATAAGTTCACATGCGTTTTTTGAGAAATTGGAAATAGCGTAAAGTACTACTTCCGGTTAACGAAATTACTCAAAATTTGGATTAAGGCAGATAATCAGATCTTTTACTTATATGTGAAATTTCGTTTATCTATCTGAATAAACCGGGAGTGATCTCCCCTAAACTTTCTCGAATATTCTTATATAAAATAACAGGGGATGGGAACTCGGGCTATAGACATGATTTTTAATCCATTTTAAATACTTAAAGTTTTAAAAATAGAATAAAATCTCGTAGACAAATTAATTGCACACCAAGTGAACGCCAAATAAAAAAGCGCATAATAGTGCGCAATATTATTAGTACTTTTAAAATTTACATTAGTTTTTTGAGAAATCGGAAGTAGCGTAAATTACTACTTCCGGTAAACGGAAATTACTCAAAATTTAACAGAAGGTAGAAAATTAGATCTTTTACTTACATGTGAAATTTCGTTTATCTATCTGAAATAGTACTCAAGTTATAGGCTTTTGAAAAATTCAAAGTAGGAAAAGTACCACTTCCGGTTATCGGAAATCGCTCAAAAGTTGATACGGATCTACGAATTTGATAAAATACTTATATATGAAATTTCATCAACCTAGCAGTAACGGTACTCAAGTTATCGTGTTTACACACGGACAGACAGACAGACACACAGACAGACACGCAGACAGACACACAAACATACGGACAAGATTGCAAAATTATGTTTTTCCGTATCAGTGAGGTGTAAAACGTCGAGATTTGTAAAAATCTCTATTTTTTTTTTGCACGATTACAAGACTTTCTCTATACTTCGTATATACGAGAAAGTAAAAAGTACTCTAGTTGGAGGCTTTTGAAAAACCACAAGTAGACTAAGTTCCACTTTTGGTTACCGGAAATCGCTGAAAAGCTTATACAGAACTAAAATTTGTATATAATAGTTATGTATGAAATTTCATCAACCTAGCTGTAACGGTACTCAAGTTATCGTGTTTACAGACACACATACACACACACACAGACATACGGACCGAATTGCAAAGTCCAGTTTTCCCGACTGGATTACGCATAAAACGCCAAAATTTTGATATATGTGGATTTATAATTTTTGCCCGATTAAAATAAGTCCTCTATATACCGAATGTGATGAAGAACTGAGGTGTAAAGCGGTGAAAACTCTCAAAATTTCATGTGATTTTTGTGCACGATTACAATACTTTCTCTATACTCTATATACGAGAAAGTAAAAATCAAATAATTTTAAAATACGGATTTAAAAAATTTAGGCTGTGATAACAACATTAGGTATTAAAGAGAACAAAACAAGTTATATTGGAACGAAATGAGAAAATGCATGTATAAATCTGGTAAATAGATAATACATTACAGATTGTATATCTCTTTGTTAAGCATATAAAAATTATTTATTAAATAGAGGTGTACAGAAAGATATAGGCTGCATTTGTCTTTTTGTTCTGAGATAATTTTTACAAGTTATTAAACATCTAACACTTTTTAGAAATAATGTGCAATGCTTTTTTTAGGCTTAATGGAAGGATATAAGATTTGTATATTTTAGAAAAAATATTCACATTTTTATACCCCCCCCCCCCCCACCATATAAGTTGTTGCTTGTTGAAATACATATAGGTCTTATTGACTATAAGTCTATATATGGAAACATTTGAAAGCTTTCCCTCAAAACTAAATCCAGCACACGCCATTGTTAACAAAGTTCACTCTCCAAACCTATTCTCGACCGTCGATATAAATCCACATTATTGCAATATGCGTCATTACATTCTTCAGTTCGGTCATTTATTGTCGAGTTATTTGGGTACAAGATTTAAGTCCTGTTGTATCATCGGTAAAAATAGAATACATTGCGTACGTTGGTGGCGCTCGCAGGGCAGCAAAAATACTTAACCTAATTAGGTTTATTAATTTAAACCTACTAATATATGTTTTTCAAATACAAACATTAACTTACCATACATGTTTAGTTTATTCTGAAGTTTTTATTTTCAATTAATTTAAAAAAAGATTTGATCTTTAATTTTGAAAATTAAATTTTTTATTTGTTACAGGTTTTTCTTAATAATCGTAATACAAAACCACAGATTATTACAAGTCAACATAATTTCATGGAAATGTTGATGACTTCCAAATACATTAATTTTTAAAACATTATTTTTATAATTATACTATTGTGTATTGGGTTATTTACATACATTGCTGTATGGTTAATAAGGTTTCACATTCTACAGGAAAAAATTCTTTTTAAAGTTAAAACAGTTGTAAAATTCGATTTTTGAAAGTGTTACAAATATTTTTTTCATTTAATCTAGAAAATATTGGTAGGCCTATCGTTTCATTCATTCAGGAAACCTAAAAATGATTGATGCAATCATTTCGTTTTGTTCATTAATAAATATTAGTTCAGTGAATAAGTTAAACTGATAAAATATTTGTTTTATATTTCTGTTGAAGTGAAAACATATTTATTTTGTTTATAAGCTAAATAGGAAAATATTTATGTAATCCTTTAAACTGAGGAAATATTTGATCAATTATTTAGTTAAACTGCTAAAATGTGTCTTATTCATACATTAAAATGAGAAAATAATCATAGAATTTACACGTTACACTGACGAAAATATTTAATATATCTTATTTAAATGATATATAACGTCTAAACGGATAAGAGTTTAGTATAACCAATTAGTTTAATACTGTTTTATTGATTTTTCAACTCCTAAAATACGGAAAAGTTAACTACGGAAAATCTGCGTATTACAGTACTGTAAAAATGGTTGGTAATATCAATGACAGTATGAAAAACATGTCGGAAAATGCAAGATTAATCTAATTCAACTTGTGTTTTCAAACGAATCGAATAGACACAAAATTGTGTTTAAAAAACAAACTGCTTACCGGCTAGATTTGTATCTACAGGGCCATAATATTTTGGCACTTTTCCTTAAATCCAATTCAGAACCGATACCGTGGTCTAAGCATAGTTTCTGCTGTGAATGTGCGCGTCGAAACTGAA